CCATGCCAAGAGCTGAGGATACAAAGAAAGGCAAAAACAGCCCTGATCCTCAAGGAGCTTATGTTCTAGCAGGGAGACTTGTAAATAAATTCATACAAGATCCCTACAAATCCTCCTCCTCCAGGAAGTCTTCTGCTGATTATTCCAGCTCATTACCTTTCCTTTGAATTGCTTGCTGTGGCACCTACTGTCCATAGCACATGTTTGACGCCTAGGATATCTTCCCTTGTCTTTTCGCTACTGGACTGGTAAGCTCTAGGAGGGGGAGAGACGGTATTTTCTAGTATTTTTTGGATCTGCTGTGGTACCTGAATCGTAGTAGGTTTATGAAAGGTATTCCGTAAGTATCTTAATGGACTTTAATTTGGCCTTAGCCAACTGTAGAAAGGCAACAGTATTTGTCATCACAGATCCCCAATATCTTTAGAAAAAGCAATCCTGGTGGTAACATGGTTCCTCAGTAGCCTGTAGAATCATAGAAAGTTAGGGTTGGAAGGGATCTTAGAACACAGAATGTTAGAATATAGAATATTGGAGCTGGAAGGATCCGTAGACCCACGAATGCTAGAATTTAGATGATTAAAACTGGAAGGGACCGAAAACAGAATATTAGTGTGGAGAGGACCTTAAAACGCAGAATGTTAGAGCTGGAAGGTGACCTTAGAACAAAGGGTAGGGGGGTGGAAAGGGACTTCAGAACAAAGATCTTGGAGATGGAAAGAGTCTTAGAACAAAGAATGCTAGAACTTAGAATGTTAGAACTAGAAGGAACTTTGAAACAAAGAATATTTAAGCTGGAAAGATCCTTAGAGTTTAGAATATTAGAGCCAGAAGGGAACTTAGAAGATATGGAACTGAGGAGAACCTCTTCATTTTTTTTACATATGGGGAAACTGAGGCCCAGAGCGGTAAAGTGAGTTGTTAGAGATCAATGCTGGGGTTAATAGCAGAGCTGGGACTAGAGCACACATCTCCTGACTCCAAGCCTAGTGACCTTTTCATTGCATCGTGACACCTCTGGCAAGGTAAAGGATGCCTTTGAGGGCAACCACAGCAACCCTTGGTTTTTCTCTGCCATGATAAACACTAGTGGAACTAGCTCTAGATAAGGGTAGCTTTTCTAATCTCAGCACAGGGAGAAAAGAAGTCTCTTTATGGTTGTTAACTGTGCAACAGCCCCCAGGAAAGCCAGTCACGGAATCAAAACAGAATGGCCTGTAGGATGAGTGGGCTTGAAACTGGTCAGTGCTATGGTCAAGAGAGGCAGCTGGATGGTTCTGACCCAGCCCCAAGCACACAGCTGTGGGCTGGGCACATGGGTGTCAGGTTCAGTCCAGCCTTTGGTTACCCTCAGACTGGAGCATCTTAAGAGTATGTTGACCTGAAAGTTGGTTAAAGAGACAACAAGCTAGGTGATGAGTAAATTCATATTGTTTTATTCCCTTAAGTAGCGCATATACATGGAATCAGAGCTTTAACCCTGACTGACTCAAGCAATTTTAGGAGGACTGAGGATGTCTATGTTACTCAAAAAAAAATACAGCCTCCATATGTTTTTTAATATATAGCATGGGAAAGAAGGTTTCTTAGTTGAATAGGCTGTAAATACAATAAAATAGGAGAATGTCAAAGTGTCCATTGAAATTATAGATCCAGGATATCTGTGTTTCCCCTACATAATATATGTCCACAGGATACCAAGATAAGAAAAGTCCCACCATTCAAGAGAGTGTCTGGTCCCAGGTATGCTGTGCTTAGTGATAACAAACAGGAAGAATGCTGGTCAGTTGCATCTGGTCCTGTAGTTGCTGACTCAGGAAGAGTCATTTTAGTTCACTCAGAAAAGATTAATTCAGGTATTTGGCCCTTATTGGGCTCAGTTGATCTTAAATGATTATCAAGTACTTAGTAACCCCGTTAGAGCAGACCTCAAGAACAGAGGTGTCATATACAGTAAGTGTAGCAGAAATCAGATCAAAATGTGATTGGGAAATATTTAGCAAAATGAATAAAAATACAATAGTGCATAGATAATGTTAAAAGTCCTTTTAGAAGTCAATATGCAGGGGTAGCCAGGTGGTACAGCGGATAGAGCATGGGGCTTGGAGACAGGAAGACCTGAGTTTAAATGAAACTTCAGACTCTTACTAGCTGTGTGACCTTGGGCAAGTCACTTGACCCCTATTTGTCTCAGTTCCTCACCTGTAAAATGGGCACACACTGGAGAAGGAAATGGCAAACCACTTTAGTATCTTTGCCAAGAAAATCCCAAATGGGGTAACTGACAGTCAAGACTGAACAACAGTGTCAATACAGTATGCAGCCGGCAGGGTTGCTTTTGTAGTCGTGCCCCTCCCCCCTCTCCATTAGCGTTTGACGTGGCTGCCCTCGAGCCTCCTACTGGGTCTGAGGGCATTCCTTTAGGGACTGTGGGAGACACTCTCCGAGCACTAAACTAGCTGCGTTTGAAGCTGCAGAGGCCAGTGAACTGTGTATTTCCTCAGACGCCAGCAAATAACAGACGGATCACATATCTTGGGGTGTCACCTCATATTTCTGGGCCTTGGTTTTCTCTTCTATAAAATTAATGAATGGGAATCTTCAAGGACTCCTAGCTCCAACCTTCTATGACTGTGTCAGGTTGTGCTCAATGGCTCCAGGAGGCTGAGCAAAGTGGGCGGCAGCAGCATCAGGTACCTCGAGCCCCTGTTTTGGAGAAGCATCTCCTCTGGGATTGGGTGGAACTGAGCATTTGCTTAATGGGCAGTGCCCCCCCCCCCCAGCAACTTCCTCTCAATCTCCAGAATTTCTGACATCACTCCCTGATAGAGAAATACGAGTCTCAGGCAAGATGAGATCATCTTTTTTTGGACATTGGTGACTGTGGAAATTTGCTAGGCTTGATTATTCATGCTTGTAACAGGTGTTTGTTTGTTCTTTACCCTTAGCCTGGGGTGGGATGGAAAGGAGAGAAGGTGATTTTTTGGCTGATTGCAAAAACAATTGGATTACTTTTTAAAAGAAAGTATTTTCTTGTTTTTCCCTGTCCGAATTCAGTTTGGCCCATTTTCTGGTTGTTGTGGAGGTGGTGTGTTAGAAGTACACAAAAATGCTGCCTCTCATTCCGCTATCTGGAATTTATCCCTCACCCCCTCCCCCACCAAGAAAGTATTTAGCTAATGGGTTTGAGGGGGGAAAACCAGCAACAAACATTGAAACTCCTTGAAGGCTTGGAATGTCACTTTTGATCTTTGCATCCTAATCACTTAGCACTTAGTGGCTAAGTACTTGTAGGGAAAAAACCAAAACCATCCTTGGCATCGGGACCATAATGTCACAAGACTTAAGAAGGCTGCAGATCTGGAGGGGATCTTGGAAATCACCTAGTTTAAGCCCCTCGTTTTACCAATAGGAAAACTGAGGCCCAGAAATAGAAAGTAGTGTCCTGAGTTCCATAACTGGTTGAATGCATTCAACAAGCATGCATTCATAAGAAGTAATATGGTTTATCGGAAATATGGTGGATTGGGAGTCCAAGGACCTGCATTTAAATCCTACCATGGATAGTTGTATGAATCACTTACTTCTCTGAGCCTCAACTTTCTAATTTGTAAAATAGAGATGATAACAATAATTATAATATTTATTTCACAGTGGGTGCTGTGAGGATTGAAAGAGATAATTAATTAGGTTGTGTTCTGCAGACCTAAATAATAATAATGGCTAATGTTTATATGGCCCTTTAAGGTTTGCAAAGCGATTTACAGACGTTATCTAATTGGATCCTGTGAGGTAGGCTCTTGCTGTTTGTTATTCCAGATAATTTTACAGAGGAGGAAACTGAAGCCTCTGTCCAAATCCTTATCCCCTCACACCTGGACTGTGGCAATAAAGAGCCCGGGAGTTGGTTTTCCTGCCACAAGTCTCTCCTCACTCCAGTCCATCTTTCACTCTGCTATCAAAATGATCTTCCTAAGGTTTAGATCTGACCAAGCCGCCTCCCTAATTCAGTAAACTGCAGTGATACCTCCCCATCTCCACGATCGAGTTACAAAATCCATTGTCTGGGATTCAAAACCCTTCCTCACCTGCCCCTCCTCCCACCTTTCCAGTCTTCTCACATCTCCCGTCACCCTCCCCACTCAACCTGCCCACCCACCTACTCTACACTCCAGTGAGTGTCTTGGGGTGTCTTGAGATGTCTTGAACAAGACACTCCATCTCTCAGCTCTGGTTGTCCCCCATGGCTGGAATGCTCTTCCTCCTCATCTCCACCTAACAGCTTCCTGTAAGTCCCATATAAAATCTCTCCTCCTACAGGAAGCCCTTCTCGATTTCTCTTAATTCTAGTGCTGTTCCTCTGTTGATGATTGCTAACATATCCTGCGTATAGCTGGCTCCTACAAAGTTGTTTGCATGTTATCTCTCCGCTTAGACCATGAGCTCCTCGAAGGCAAGGACTGTCTTTTGCCCTTCTTTGTGTCCTCCCCAGTGCTTATCACAGTACCTGGCACACATCAACTGGTGGGCAAGCTAGAAAAAAAAATACCTCTCAGTCCCCAAAATATTTCCTGAATTTTTCAACCTGTAACAGTATCTTCTTGCTTATATATTTTATAGTCCTAGGATTTAGAACTAGTATGGCCTTTTGGGATAATCTCCTCTAATCCCCTTCATTCTCAGGTGAGAAATCAGAGGCTCTGAGAGGTTAAGTGATTTTCTCCAGGTCACACAAGATATAAGTAGCAGAGCCTGGGTCTGAGTCCAGGTTTTCTGACTCCCAATTCTCTGCTGCCTGGCTGCAGAAGCAGGAAATCCCCAGCCCTCAGGAACTGGCACAGCACAAAATCAGGTTCATACTTGATTTATGAACAGGCGTATGTGTCAGAAACTGTTAGGTATGCCTCCCTTGGATCCAGGCAAGTTGATTTAACTTTTAAATAAAACAGTATTTGTTCTTCCAGGAGGCTGCCCTTGACTTTTTCTTTCCTTCCTTTCAGATGCATTTTGTCTTCTCCAGTGAGGTGGAGCTCCTCTTTGATTTCTGGAGGGTCCACAGTCCAGCCGGTAAAAGTGTGAAGCCCCTCTCTCCCTTGCTCCTTCCCTCCCCCCTACCCTTTCTCCTACCCTACCTCCCGTCCTCAGGGCACCAGAGAACCCGTGTGCTCATCCATCATGACCTATTGCCGGGATATTCAATTGCATCTAAATTGTTCTTCATGAAAACTGGCATTTGATCTACACTGACCAATACTTGTGACACTTCACGGAGACTAGCACTCTTCAATTTTTCAAACTGATTTCACACATGTCATTTCGTTTTGTCCTCACAAGAACCTGGTCCTGTCATCATTTAGATATAGAATCAAGGGACCTGAGTTCACAACCCAAATTAGACACTTACTGACCATCTGACTGTGGGCAAGTCATTTGGGCTTTGGTTTCCTCTTCAGTAAAATGGGGCTCAAATGAGGATGTTAAGGAGAAGGAGATCGGCACACCTAACCAATAGCCAGGATAATAGCTAGCATTTATGTAGCCCTGTAAGGCTTGAGAAAAGCTTGATCCTCATGACAACCCTGGGAGGCAGGTGCTATTATTATTATTATCCCTATTTTCCAGATGAGAAAACTGAGGCAAACAGAAGTTAAGTAACTTGCCCAGGGTCACACAGCTAGGAAGTGTCTGAGGTAGGATTTGAACTTGGGTCTTCCTGACTCTAAATCCAGCACTCTATCCACTATACTTCCTAAAAGTGACAAGTTATAGTTGTTAGTCATATATGGACTTTGTTGTTGTTTGGTCATTTCAGTTGTGTCTGACTCTTCGTGACTCCATTTGGGGTTTTCTTGGCAAAGACACTGGAGTGGTTTGCTATTTCCTTCTCCAGTTCATTTTACAGATTAGGAAACTGAGGCAAACAGAGTTAAGTGACTTGGCCAGGATCATACAACTAATAAGTGTCTGAGGCCCTTTTAAGGGTAGTCTCTCTTATCTGAGCCCAGAGGGCTTAAATACTTCAATGAGCATTTGTTAAAGCTTGTATATGAAACAGATGTAGCAATCACAAGCTTTTAAAAAGTGGGGATGGTGAGCTCTTAATTTCTTTTATGGGCTGCCTCCAGTGTGTCACATCTTTGGGCATTTGGCTTCTCCTTCCAACCCTTTCTGTACTTGCTGCAAGATTTATGGAGTCAATGAGAGCATCCTGGCTGGGTAGAGGGGCTGCTGCTTCCAAGTGTGCTCAGGGATCTGAGTTAAGAACAGGGAGGCAATAAGATCACTCCTGGGAAGGCATGTGGACTTGGAGTCAAGAAGACCTAGGTTCAAATCCTGCCTTGGTCAATTGTTAGCTGAGTGACATTGAGCAAATAATTTTAAAAAAAATTTTAATTAATTAATTTAGTTTTAGTTTTCAACAATCACTTCCATACACTTTTGAGTTTTAAAATTTTCTCTGCCTCCCTCCCCAAGATAGTGTGCAATCTGATATAGGTTCTACATATACATTCCTATTAAACATATTTTCACATTAATCATGTTGTAAAGAAGAATTAGAACAAATAGGATGAATCATAAGAAAGAGGAAACAAAACAGAAGAAAAAAAGAGCAAATAGTATGCTTCGATCTGCATTCAAACTCCATAGTTCTTTCTTTGGATGTGGATAGCATTTTCCATCATGAGACTTTTGGAGATGTCTTAGATCCTTGCATTGCAGAGAAGAGATAAGTCTATCAAAGTTACTCATCATACAATGTGGCTGTTACTGTGTGCAATGTTCTCCTGGTTCTGCTCACTTCCCTTAGCATCAGTCCATACAAGTCTTTCCAGGTTTTTCTGAAGTCTGCCTGCTCATCATTTCTTAGAGCACAATAGTATTCCGTTATATTCATACACCACAACTTGCTCAGCCATTCCCCAATTGATGGGCATCCTCTCAATTTCCAATTCTTTTCCACCACAAAAAGAGCTGCTATAAATATTTTTGTACATGTGGGTCCTTTTCCCATTTGTGTGATCTCTTTGGGATACAGCCCTACAAGTGCTATTGCTGGGTCAGAGAGTATGCAGTTTTATAGTGTTGTACCGAGAAATCAGCGAGTGAGACCCAGATGTAATGTGGATTTATTAGCGCGTGGCTGCAAGGGGTATGCACACCCAAATCAAGCAGCCCTGATCAGGGGTCGAGCTAGGGTTTATATGGAAAAGAGCATGAGAAAGAAATGTGAGGAACACTGATGAGGTAATCCAAAGGTGCAGGTGTCTTTGGGGGCTATGGATGGGAAAGTACAGGGAGTATACCGGACAGGGAGGGAGATGACAGAGGTATGGATCTTTGGAGTCTGGCAGGAGGAAGAGTCCTTGGGCTGGCCAAGGACACCCCTCTCCCTCTGTCTTGATGAGAGAATGCTCTGCAACAAGGGAAAGCTTTCTCACAACACAGGAACTTACTAAGGAATTGGGAGGCTTCCAGAGACATGATCTGAGGGCTGGGGCCTGAGCAGCCCAGCTCTGAGTAGCTGTGCCAGGGAGAGAGATAAGGGTCATGCTGAGGCCCATGCATGAATAACTGCTGGGCACAGTGTCCTTGGGCTGGGGGGTGGTTGTCAGAGACAGTGTTTCTGAGACTAGGGAGAAATTGGGGCACAAGTACAAGCACAAGCACCCAAGCACCCCATTATTACGGATCAGAGATCACACAAACTAGACCAGGTGTCCTGGTCTCTGGTATAAACATAATTATCTAATGCAATTATATTGCAAGCTTTCTTATCCGTTTGCATTGGAGGTATGGGCTGTGCTGAGTTATGCAAGAGTACATTTCATTATTGTTTAGATTTAGGAGGAGACAGGTCTGGGGCAAGATTAAGCAGTAATTTCTGCTTTCCATGGCTTAAAGGGCCCTACTACCTAAAATGGTAAAATAATGTTCTGCATTACAATAGCCCTTTGGGCATAGTATTGAGCAAATAATGTGATCTTTCTGTGCTTTCATTTTCTCATCTGTAAAATGAGGTTGCACTTAACAGTCATTAAGGTCCCTTTCTGCTCTACGAGGGCCCTTGAGGGGAAGTGCAACTGAGGATCATAAGGTGGGATGCCTTTTGTGAAATGTCCTGAATGTCTTAGTGGAACCAGGTTTTAGGCCTTTGGGCCTAACTAGGACAGGGCCATCAGGATAGCCTCTCCCAGTACAGTGCAGAAAGGAGCACAGAACAGCCTTCCCAGTCACAGCATTATTTTGAACATTTAAATTTAATTTTTTTTCTATCAATAAAAATCTATTTTCTCTTCCACTCAATGCCCCCAGTGGAAAAAAAAAGGAAAAAGGAAATCCCTATAACTAATATGCAGAGTCAAAGAGACAAGCAAAACACATTTCCACACTGGTCTTTCATGAGGCTGTTTTCTACCATCCGAACCCAGCACAGTCCCCAGAGAAAATGTCCAGAGCGGACAGGAGATGGTGATAGGAAGAACAGCCCCTTATATGAATGATGTACATAATAGCTTCCAGTGTGTTTCTATGTTCATTACTTAGCTTCATCATCAGAACAAGCGTGTAAGAGAGGCAGAGGAGGAATGACTACCCCATTTTACAGATGAAGAAATTGAGGCTCAGAGTTTAGTGCCTTGTCCCACATAACCCAGCTAGTTAGTGGCAGGGCCAGGATTGGAATCTAGGTTTCTCCTCCTCTCTGCCGTGCACTTTCCCTTTTAAAAAACCATCATCAACTACAACCATGGTCCAAATAAACACACACAAATACAAAACATGAGACCAAGCCCTAGCATTAGAAAAAACAGGAACAAGTGAGTGAACAAGCACTGAAAACACCAATGAGATGCTTTTGGCCTGTGTCCTCCCGTCCCCCTCCCCACCCCCCAGGCCTCTCAGAATTCTGCCACCTTCGATCCTGTTTGCCTTCCTTCTTCCCCTCTCCCCTTTTCTTCTATAGCTGTAGTTAGTGCGTTTACAATTCTGCCTGATTGTACTGCTTTTAGGTCATTGCTTCTTCTACTGCATCTGGCTGCCTTTGAAGGACAGTCTTGTGGAAGCCAGAAGTCTAGCATGACCATAAGGGGCAAAGGGCAATGGGGTGACGTAGAAAGAGCTCTGGATAGAGAGCCAGAAGTCTTGCTGGCTCTGTTACTCAATAGTTACCATGCTAGGTAACTCTAATACATAATGTAATAATAAAACATAATATAATATAACACAATATAGTATAATACAATATAATAGCTATAATATCATATCATATCATATCATATCATATCATATCATATCATATAACATATATAATTACCATGAAGGAGAGCCAGACCTGGAGTCAGGAGAACTAGGTTTGAATCCCACCTCATCCATTCATTAGCTTCTATTGCTTACAGGCCAATCATTTAACCTCTTAGAGGCTCTATTTTCTCATCTGTAAAATGGGGGTTGTAATACTTTTACTACCTACCTCATTGGGTTGTTGGGAGGAAAAAGTGCTATATTCATGCAATTGTCATTATTACCTATGTGATCTTATTGTTGTCTTTATTTGGGGGGGGGTGAGGCAATCAGGGTTAAGTGACTTGCCCAGGGTCACACAGCTAGTGTCAAGTGTCTGAGTCCAGATTTGAATTCAGGTCCTCCTGACTCCAAGGCTGGAGCTCTATCCACTGTGCCACCTAGATGCCCCCATTATTGCCTATGTGACCTGGAACAAGTCATTTCCCCTCTGGGCCTCAATTCTATCACTGGTAAAATGTGGGGTTTGGATTAGATAATCTCGAGTCTAATTCTAGGATTTTAAGATGTTCTGACCCTAGAGTTCAAGACCCCAGGCAGGAAGGATGTGTGTGTAGGGAGCACAGGTCAGGTTCAGAGCTAGTGGTGAGAAGCATAGTTCTTGAGATCAGTCTCTGGTATGGGAATCATCTGTGGAACCACATGTGCCCCTTGGGGAGTTATGTGGGCTGTGTTGGGGTTTCTGGAGCTGGGCTTCCTTCCGCAGGCATGGCTGTTTCCGTGCTGGTGGTCCTCCTTTTGGCCGTATTCTATGAAAGCATCAAGGTTGGCAAAGTAAAGTTGTTCCAATGGTCCCTGCGCAGCCATCCCCCAAACCACAACCAGCCGCTGACGGAGTGTACCGACCAGGAGTCTACAAGCTCTGGGTCAGCTCAGGCCAACAGTGACCGAACCAGGTAACTGATGGATGGATGGGGCATGGAAGCATTGGACCAACCCAGAAGGCTCAGGCAAAAGTGCTCTGAGTTCTCATTTCAGCTCTAAACCCACCTTGGACAGCAAGGACTGGGACTTTCTTAGCCTAACAGCCTGATCCAGGGCCCTCCTGATCTCTCTGATTGGCCTCCCCAAATTGAATATTGTCCTATCTTCCCACCTGCCTTTAGGCATAGAATAACTATGGCTTGAGAGTCTCCAGATGGTGAATAGAATGCTCTTCAACCTCCTAGTGGGATTTACTTTTCCCAAGCGTGGCCAGCTTTCACAGGCGAGCCATTACTGGTACCCAATGTAACTTTGCTTATGTTTCACAGTATCTAATACTACTACTTGCATTTATGTAGAGCTTTGTGGTTAAGTGCTTTCACATCAACTAAATGAAGTAGGCAATATCATTATCTCCATTTTACAGATGAGGAAACAGAGAGTGACATGACTAGGTCAGAGTCACAGAGTTTGAATCCCGTCTTCTGAATGGAAATTCCCTGTTCTTCCCATTAGAGCAGGTGTCCTAAGGCCACTTTTTAACCATATAGCTTTACTTTCCTCTCCTGAATCCCACCCCCTTGCCCCCATCCCCATCTGTCACTTCATCCTTCTCTAACTCAGCTATCTTGTGTATCCAGGTTGTTTCTGAGTCACTTGGGCCAGTCTCTGATACACGTCGTCCAGGTGGTCATTGGCTACTTTGTGATGCTGGCTGTGATGTCCTACAACACTTGGATTTTCCTTGGCGTGATCCTGGGCTCAGCTATTGGTTACTACTTGGCCTACCCACTCCTCAGTGTGGGATAGAGGGCAGGATGGGCTCCGAGGCTGCCGGATGGTTGTTCAGGCTCAACGTGTTGGGAGAGTGCCATCTCTTCTTTACTTGGTGATGAAAACCCCACCATATTCAGAAGCAGGCACTCTCACGATAGTTGTTCCACATCTCCCTTATCTTCCTCCTTCTGTGGCCTCTTACTTTGAGGTACACATGTGCCCTCCTTCCTTGGGCTGGCCACCATGGCCACCAACAGTGTTCACTGAGGACCTCTGGTGGTGGTTCTGGCTAAACCCGAGCCTAGACTGTCCAAAAGCCTGGGGGAAGGAGAGGGGAGCCAGCTGAGCCCGAGTAGCTGATGACATTGCTGATCGTGTAATTTACTCATGGATTTCCTGACTTGGGGAAGAAAGGCAGCCTATTTGAAAAGGGATTGAGGGAGGGGCAGGGCTCCAGACATGCTCTCCTCCCTCCTCTATATTGTGCCTTAGTTCCAATGGAACAAGCTGTGCAGGGTTAGCTGCCTTTCTGTATCTGTGGGAATAGGAGATATACCAGCTTTTCTTTTTTTTGGCTAGGCAATGGGGTTAAGTGACTTTCGCAGGGTCACACAGCTAGTAAGTGTTATGTGTCTGAGGCCGGATTTGAACTCAGGTCCTCCTGAATCCAGGGCTGGTGCTGTATCCACTGCGCCACCTAGCTGCCCCTGATTTACCAGCTTTTCAAACTTACCTCTCTGCCTTAGGAATGCTAGAAAATTGAAACCGGGCGTGTGCGTGCCTGTGTGTGTGTGTGTGTGTGTGTGTGTGTGTGTGTGTGTGTGTGTGTGTGTGTGTGTGTGTGTGTGTGTGTGTGTGTGTGTGTGTGTGTGTGTTTTGACTGACCTGAGATTCATTTCCTCCATTCCTCCTTCCCCCGCCCCCACGTAACCTGCCTTGGGTATTATTAGGACAAATAAGGTTTTTAAATGGAACACTCTCCCATTACATTCATAGTGATTCACAGCCTGGTGGTGTAGACAGAGCCCTGGCTGTGGAGTACTTGAGTTTGAATCCTGACTCTGATACTTAGTTGCTTTGTCACTTTCCCACTCTGGGCCTCAGTTTCCTCATCTATAAAACAAAGGGAATGGGTTAGACTAAATCTTTCTAGTATCTTTCAGCTGCAAATCTCTGATCCATTTCCTTCTTTTTCTGAGGGAACACAATGAACCAATTAAGTTAAGTGATGCCGAAGGAGATATTCTGAGGACTGAAGAGCCTAAGGGGGATGGGGACACCCAAGGGTCTGAGGGGGCCGGGTCTCAAGTGCAGCAGAAGACCCTGGCGTTCATCTGTGCCTTGATATCAATGGCTCTGGGGTTCTTGGGTTAACCTGAACAATTGTGCGTGGCCTATCCATGGCAGATTCAGGAATGTTACCTCTGGCAGGGCTCCTTCCGCTGGACAGCACTGCCTCCTTGCTGCTTAGAAGGAGAATGTCAGGTTGTACCAGGGAAGCAGCATAGATCTAGCTTGGCTAGTGGCCTTATTTGTCTGGACAGATATCGATGACCTCCCTTTCTGTCATCTCATTCCAATTCTTTTCTAATTCAGAAAAAGGTCAGTGTCATTGAATAACCTTCAAGATCTCATTTTTCTTCACCATCTCTCTTTACCCTGTGACTGACCTGGCAGAGAAAACAAAATGGATGTTCACTTAAAATATTCATTAAACCGTCCTACTTTGCTGTTGGACAAAGATTAAATCAAACCTAAGCTATTTATTCCTGCCCTCAATGAACTTATGGTCTAAATAAAAATGTAATTTATGTTTTGGCATCTTGTTAAATTCATTTTAAAAAAAGGTGGATTAAAAAATGTCACTTTGATTATGCCATTTTGGGGAAGAGAGTGGCAAAAAAAAAAGATAGTAGCTGTGGAAGCAACAGAAGAGGAGGGAGAAGGGATAGAAATAATGAACAGTAAGACTATCGTGAAAGAAAATCTTAGACCAGGGGAATTCATCTCAAGTAACGAAATTTATTTTGTTAAATGAACGGAATTTCAGATATCAAGCTGGTCTACCTACTTAAGGCTTTCCCTGGGTCTCTCTACTTCCTGAGGGTCAGCAGAACAGGCATTAGTTTCCTTTAGGAGGAAGAAATCAGCTCTGATGAGATGTCTCTAGAAGCTGCTATGACATCGGTCTTTTGATCCAGCAGCTTAATGCTATTATCTATGGATTATAGGGCACAAGTAACCTCCATCTCCCTTCTTGACTTAATCATGGTTCCCAAGAGGCAGGAGGGCAGACAGGCCTGGGAAGTTGTATTAGACAACAGAGCCAGACTTACATAGAGGTAACTAGGCAATATTGGTCAGGTCACTGGTATGATGGGATTTCAGGAATACCAATACAATTCACTCACAACCCCACCCCCAAAATGCTTTGGTTTTCTGTTGAATAATTATTAATTAAAAATTTTAACAATTAAACATTTTGAATCATTAGGAATCAGTATTTTTGGCTTAAGGTTTCTTATTCCAAAATGTGACTTACCTGGGAGCAGTAAAAGTACTAAAAAGCCACCTAGTCCAAGGTCATCAGTATTAACAGGGAGATGAAGGGACTTGCTCAAGGTCACAAGGTCAGTGCCAGGAGCAGGATTTGAACCCTGGTCTTGATGCCAGAGCCAGGGTTTTTGGTACCATTGCTAGCTGTTATCCCTGGGGAGGGGCAGTCACATCAGCATGTGTGGAACAAAGAGGAAGGAGCTAGAGAGAGTTGTGTCCAGTCACTTTGGGGAAGGGGCAGGGGTCTATCATACCCCTTGGATTAGTCAATAAACACTTATTGACACCTGGGGAAGAAATGGAAATCTAACAGATCTGGAATCATAAAACCTAGGATTGAATCCCAGCTTTCCATTAATAGTGTGACCTTGGGCAGGAGGCTAGGTGCCTGCTAGGGGGAATATGCCAGGTGGCAATGGCTTTTAGAGAGCAGCAGGAAATAAGGTCGGAGAGGCAGCAACAAGTCAGAATCTCTTGGGATTCCTTCAAGCTTTTGTCATACTTCTCCCCTAAACATACCTCCCAGCATTATTATTGGAGACTTCTGTTCTTCAGACTATCTGCAGTGGAAAGATCCATGTAGAACTTTGGGGGCACCTTAAAAAAAGTCACATGTGGAGAAAATTGAAACTATTGGCTAGAAAATGGGTTTGAGATTAACTATGGCCTTCTCAAAGGGCTCGTTCCAATTCTTACCACAGGATTACAGGCAGCAGCAATTGCAGAAATGGTCAAGATTTGGAATCCCCATCATATAAAACAATACACTGATGGTTGTTCATACTGCAAATATTTTATTTCATTTATAATTATTTTGATGTTTTTCCACATGTCTCCTTATAAAGTTTCTCTCTAGCCATGTTGTTGATTTCTCACTTTACACCCTCAGAGGGCAGAGACTAATAACTCTCATTCATACTGCAACCAGCACAGCACATAAAAAGACCATTACTTAGACAGGGGAGGAGAAATTTAGGGGCAGTAATGGAGTAGGAAAGGATTTGGCCCCTCAGGCTGTCATATGCATACCACTTTCAACTGGTACAAGAATAGTTGCAGCTTTTGGGAAACACAGAAATCAGAGTTTACTATCAGAGTTTTCATTTTAATTAAAATTCTCCTTTTTAAAGCCCTATAGCTGTGGGTCCATGCTGGTTGCATGGTCCATGTAAGATATCTTAAATAAGAAACTAGTTATCAATCTATTTTCACCTCCAGTTTCTGGCTCTGTCCAGACCACCTGGAGCCCAAGCTGAACCCAAACTGGTCAGTGGTCCAGGAGACGCAACAATTGAAAAGAGACCTATGGGGACCCTCTAGCTTTACCCTCTCTTCTGCAGCCACTGTCAGGTTCACTGAAATGAGTTTGCACTGGAGAAAGAAGCTTATGGTAGATGGCCTATGGACTAAAATTCAATGAAATACTATTCTATCATTTACATTTTTTGCAATAGGTAATGAGCTCTGGACATATTTTTGTACATATCTGGTTGTGACCCTCAGATACCAAGATGCTCTTGGCTTCATTTATTCCTTCAGCAGTTAAACATTTATTAATTTCCTACAATATGCAAGGCACTGTGCACAATAAGGCCCACAGACTCAGGGGAAAATGGAAATCTCTCCCATTTCTTTGAATGCCCAGAAAGAACCTGGAACAATCTACTAGGATGTGAGTTGTCCTAAAAAAAACAAAACTGAATAATGCCATGGATTTCCAAAGGAAAAAAGAAAACAAAAACCACCAATTTAAAATTACCTGGTTTGCAAAGAATTTAAGAATTGGCTCCTGATCAATTTTGCCCCCTTGCACTTAATTCTTTCAGAGAGTAGTGCACACTCCTCAGGTAAAACCATTAGACACAAAGTTGATTTCATCCCAGAGCATTCAGAGACCGAGTTGCATTGCTGACTTTTATTTTGTGTTTGTTACTCTTGAATATTCATTAATATATAATATCAGAATTAAGGCAGAGAAAAAGACATGTCTGAGAGCCTCGCACTGAACTCCTAATGTAAGAAGGTGGACAGCTAGATGAAGTGCATTGCACTGGGTAGAGAATTTCCACGGGGCAGGGTGCAGTTACCTACGTGTGGTCAGTAAGAGGTCTTAAGGTCACAGATTAGTATGGTGAGGCTCACTGGACAGGCCAAGGTCCCATTTGGCTCCATCTCAGAATTAGCAAGGAGAAGGCTTAGTAACACAGCAATGGGTTGAATGAAGCACATTAACAAGGCAGGGATAAGGATAAGCTCACTGACATGGTGACTGACTGGCTGGTTTTAGGACTGGGCAAGAGAGGTGATCAAAGGTCCTCCAACACAGGAAAAGCAATTCTTCTGAGGCTTCAATTCTTTCTCTCCAATGCTGTGCTCCTGTACACCACCAGGCACTGCTATGCACAGCGCCTGCCAACTTCAGCTCTGGACTTACAGAAGGGACAAACTCACTAAGGCAGTGTGACAGGAGGAGACCAGAGTCCAACCATTCCAATGGCCAACAGCAGCAGCACTTTTGGTGAGGCAAAATTCCAGGGGCAAAGCCATGTTCCTTTTCAACAGCAAATGATCAGTGCAGAGTGTTATGAGGCTTTGTCACTGGGAAATGCTTTCTGGTGCAGAATTCGGTTCTTAATAGATACTCTAAAGTTTCTGCCCAGGGGAAAAAAAAAAGACTAGGAGCTATATTAGCATCTCCTAGTGGAAGAAGATATCACAGGTCTATCTCAAAGGAGTTGCTGGAGATCAGAGTTCCATTTGTTTACTTAGAAAAGATGTGTGTGGACAGTAAAATGCCAAAGGCTGCTTTCTGCACCAGCAGCACCAGACACTGGGGGGATGCTCCCGGATGGGAGGATGCTTTCCCGATGCTTACTGGGATGGGCCAGAAAATTCAGCTCTGGAGAGGGTTAAGAAATTCTGGATCTTACCCTGTTGCCCACCCAGAACCAGGGTCAGCTGTGCAAAACAGTGCTCAGAAAGAGAAAGGCAGAGTAGGGCAGACTGAAAGACCTCTGTACTATCTCTCGAGTTTTCATCCCAGCCAGTCAAGGTCATCGTCATCATCATCATCCCCAAAAAGGGGTGCTGGGGGTGGGCGTCCCTTCATGCTCTGACAAAACAGAAAACAGCCATAAGTTTTGGATACCACCAGTGAAATAGATAATTTCCCGACCAAGATTCAAAACCCTTTTCCAAGTCAAGTTGGACAATGAGTTGTTGACCAAGGAAGTCAGTATTTAGCCATCACCAAGGTATGCTTGGCACTGAAGATGACAGCTCAAAACAAGGCAGTCTTTACCCTTAAATGTATATGTGTTAACCAAACAGATTAAAATATGTAAAAAGGAGAGATTTAATACAGAAAAAAGATCATCCCTGTTTAGCTACTCTGAATCTTGATTTATTTACAGTTTTCCCTCTCACTTCAGCACTTTAGATACGAAGTAGTGGAGGTAAAAGGGTAAGATGAGGAGGAGGATGTGTTGAGAAATGAGTATGGGCAGAGTAAAGTGAAGAGAAACGAATAGGTGGGAGTGGTCGTCTAGAGGTGCAGGAGGTAGAAAGCCATGAACAAGACAGCTGGAAAAGGGCATGCAGGAAGAAATGGACTGTTGGAAGAGTCATTTTGTTTTAATGTGCCATTAGTCAGGCATGCTGCTGGAGCTCTGTCACCATAGTTTTTCTGAAAAATTAGGGTAGAGAGAAGGGACCCCATCCCCAAGTCACTGTGCACTGGAGTAAAGACCTCTCATAGGTACAGAACCCCAGCTACATGTTCTTCCCAACCGAAGTTTGGCAAAGGAAAGGCTTTCAGACCTACTCTCCTCCTCTCAATCCAGCTTCTGATTTTGGATACCAAAGAGTCAGAAACAAAGGGCTGTGGAGAAGGTATCCTCCCTCCCAATCCAGGATGCCCTGTATTACCAGCTCTACTTACTCATAGTCACCTATTCCTCTATGTAGCTAAGATGGGAGAGGTAGTAACAAGGGATATGGGGAAAACTCACATTTCTTTTTCATATGGCCTATTCTGAATTTCTTACTCGGGGATACCGGGATGGAGATGGATGACAGAGTTCTTGGGGTTAACACTGTAGGCTAGCTTTTATAGTACATCCCACTTAGAAGCAACTTCTGCCCTTTTAAGATACCGCTGGTCCAGGCGATCCCCAGAATCTATTGTCTAATTTCAAATGGGCAGATCACAGGGAAAAGAGCCCTACCACAGGAGTCAGAAGCTGGGCAAACAGTGCTCAGGAAAAGATGAGCACTGCAGGGCCAGCTCAGGGACCTCTGGATTTTCTCCCATGTCTTTATTCCAACCAATTAAGGTCACTGTCATCATCCCCCAAAAGCAGCTCTACCTCTTTCTTGCCTCCTTTCTTGAGCTGAAGTGGGCTTCAGCTTCCTTATCCATAAAGTAGAGGACATGATCTAGCTGCTATTGAAAGTCCCCCCCCCCATCTCTTACATTTTGTGTTCTAAAGTCCATTCCAGTTCTACGAGACTAGGGTTCTAAGGCATGGTATGTTAGCAGGCTGTTGAGGATCTCTGGCTAGCATTAACTTTTTAAGGTGGTAAAAAGGGAAGCCCAAAAATCTCAGCAGCACTTATTCTGTGGCTCTCCCTCTGGAAGAAACCTAATTTTGAGGTGAAAAGCGGTTACCATACTTTGCTAAGCTGTTGAAATAACGCACTTTTTACCAAGGACAGGGAAAAAGCTAGAGCACTTGAGCATAGGAGTAAAGGATTCTGGAACAAAGGATCTTGGTGATCTCACTGACATTGCTTCATGTGCCTGGAAAATTCACTCTGGCCTAAATTTTTCACTGATACTGCAAGAGATGTGTCCTTACACACTTGTATGTTTTAGTGATCAGGCTGGACCTGAAAAATGTGGTTTCTGCATATGTTTAGCATCAATGCAAGTCTTAACATGTGGCTGGCTAATAAAGCCTAAGCCAGGAGCATTTGGCTGAGCACCAGAAAGCTTGGGTTCTGGTCCCCACCTTTGCCACTAATTTGTCCTTAAGTAAGCCACCTAATTTCTATGGAACTCAGTTTCTTCTTCTGTAAGAAAGGAGATATCATCTGCCTTATTTTCCCCAAAGAAATGTTTTGGGGAGCATAGCTCTAAGGATGAAAGGGCAGAATGGGATCATAAGTTAAGAAGCACTCTGAGTAAATCCTGACCCCTATACAAGTGCTAGCTAGGGGGAGGGAAGGAAAGCACAGAGTCAGAGTCTAGTTCCAGGTCATTTGTGTAATCTTGGACAACTCAAAGCATCTCTCTAGGACTCAGATTATTCCTCTGAAAAAGGGGGCTGGGTTAGATGATCTCTCAGGCCTCTAACAGCACTGGGAGCCCATGATTCTATTATGTGTAATCCTGTTCATAGTCAGAGGAAGTTCATTATTTATTCTAAGCTTTGACATAATAAGGACTGAGCTGTCTATGCTTGCTCACTTAAGAGACCCCCCCCAAAAAAAAATTAAAAAAAAAAAAAGAGCCTGAGTGAAAGGTCAAAGCTTATCTCCCATCCTCAATAAAGAATGGGTATGCAAGCACCTACCACCATATTTCTAGGACTGCCCCATTTCAAGCCCCAGATTTGTCTTACAGGGTCCAGCACAAAAAGCCCAGTAAGTAGGTCACTTTGACCTGGGTGTCTATTAGAGTACGTCATGAGGGTCTCTTAGTATGGTGGCATTCAGATGGGGGCAAGCCCTAACTTTCCTTACCACTTCATCTTCATCGTCATCATCAGGCATTGGAACTGGCTTCGATGCTTTCAATGCTGCCCCTTTAAACATGCAATCTTCATCACCACCTGTGAAACTGAAAGAAAACCAGGTATCAGCAGCAGAAAATATTGCTATCCCTGACATAGCAGGAATTACTCTGTCCCTGCCTGGCACCAAAAGCTTCAAGAATCATTTATGTTTGTGAGAAGCTAGATTTACAGTTAAAAGAAGTCACAATATCTCTCTAGGCATGAGGACCTTCTAAGGAATAAATTTACCAACCGTGACAAAGGCAATTCCATGCCTGCCACTGTAACTCTGCGTTACGGGAGGACAACAACCAACCTGGCGTTCTGGTGCTCAGGGCTAGGTTTCGGGGTGGCCACTGGTTCTGCAAAATTTACATTTACGCCCAACTGCTCCTTGGTGGTGCTGGACATGACAGTGGGGTAATCCTTCTCTTCATCTTTCAGGGGAGGTTTCAGTTCTTCCCTTGAATGTCCGAGTTCCGCTGACAGTGGGTCCTCTTCCTTGTGGCTTATAGCCTGATGGCTTCGTGGCTGCGAAGTTTTTTCACTCTCCTGTCTTGGGGTACCTGAGGCTTCTGACAGGCTGCTTTTGTGATGTCTCATCTTATTATCAACACGTGTTTCTTCACACTCAGGTTCACAGACTACAGCATCTCCAAGAAGAGGTGGCATGGGTGGAATTGAAGTTGGGGGCCCTGGAATACCTTGAGATGGAACTCTAGTTGACCCTTGTGGGAGAGGTTGATGTGGCACTTCTAGACTTTTCTCTGCCTCTGAAATCCCATCCCTGTGGTGTCTTTCCTCCACCCCATTCTGTGTCTCAAAGGCCTTAGGCAGTGGACTCTCTGGCTTGTCTTCCTGCTCCGCTGGTTTAGCTGCGGGCTTGAGCCCCTCCTGATCCAGGGTTCTAAGAGCTGGAGTTGGAATGGTTGGGGCCGAGTGTTCCTGAGGTACTTTCTGGGGCTGCTCTTCTTCCTCCTCACTGCTGCTCTCCTTTTCCGGCTCCTGGGGAACTAACAGAAGCAGCGTCTCCAGCTGTCGGGAAAACCAAGGGGTAGGACTTTAGTACTGACAGAAAAGCATCAGGCAAGTCGTTTCTTAGTTCTTTATGATAGAGAGAAATTCCTGTCTTATCGGCTAGACTGGCCTCAATATGACTAACCAGCCATGACCAAATAAAAATAATGTAGGCTAGGGATAACATAATACTGCTGCTGCTGCTGCTACTGTTCCTAGTACCATTTCCAAATCTTGTCCCAAAGAAGAGGTATGAGAAGATATCTCCTTTCCTCCTTTTTAAAGGCTGAGGACTATGGGTGTAAACACTATAGATAATGTCAGACTTATCTGATGTGTTGGTTAGTTTTCCTGAACTGTTTTTTTTCCCCTTTTTTTATTCTTTGATATAAGGGATGGCTTTCTGGTGAGGGGTGGGGAGCGATATCAGGAAACAAAGGGATGTAAAAAAAGGATATCAATAAAATTTTGTTTAAAAGCGATAACTGACATTTATATGGCATTTTACCATTTGTAAAACATGTTATACAGATTATCTTATTTGAGCCTCACAACAACATAACTCCAGGTAATTTCTCCATTTTAGAGATGAGGAGACTGAGGCTCGGGGGGGGTGGTGAACAGGCACACACGAAGGATCAGAAGCCAGTCTTCAAGTCTCCAAGTGGAGCACTCAATCCAAAATCCCACAATGCTTCTCAGATGAAATGCCTCTAACAATTTCACATGTCTTTGGACCTTAAGAGGTCCAAAAGCAACGAGATCCCAATTGCTGGACATACCTTGATCGTATTCATGACAATGCTCAGAATGGTCCTGCCATCATAGGACTCTTCCAATTCAAATTCTCCCCTTAGAGATTGGAACACTCGGTTCATGATCTTCTTTACCTGCACATGGATATGGGAAGAAGTTGGGGAAAGATCAGTCTGAGGTAGACCCAGAGAAAAATAGCAAATGTTTTATTTTAAGACATTATTCACCCTAGGCCCAAGACACAAAGGCTGTCACCTTAATCAGGACATGGTAAGCAATGAGCACTGCCTTGCTTTCTAGGAGAAGGTTCTCTTCTACAGTCCTTGGGTCTCTATACTCCTGACAACACACCTATCACAAATGTGCATCAAGAGACAGAGGCTCATGACAGCACAGAGGACAACGCCACCTTCCCATTTCTATCCATCTGTTGGGGTCACCCCTGGTCCTGAGAATTGGCTCTCAACATGCCTTTCCAGGAGCCACAGATAAGTACAGAAGGAAAAGGAACGGAGTCTTTAAAAGGCTGCCAATTGCACGGACTCAGCCTGAGCTGTCCCTGAGATCCTAGAATAATACAATACTCAATATCCCAAGAAAGTAGCAGAAAGACTCAAGAGAACACAAGCTCAGCCCAGATATTCCCTCCAGAGTTGGGCCCTAACATAAAGTCAGAAGTCAGGAAGTAGGCTGGAAGAGAGAACAAACAGAAAGCTGCCTCTTTCCGGCCAATACTTATGAGCGGGAGACTGTAGAGGAGAACACTTGGGGAAACAGAACTGAAATGAAATATGTAAAGGGTAGAAACAGGTGCCCTGGGGAGAATAAGTTACAGGGTGGTAGACTGTGCTTCTGTAAAAATAATGAAAAACGTTCTTGGAGCTGTTCAACAGCAACATGAACTGCCCTGAACACCACAAAGTTCTCCTTCCCAGGAAGTCTCTGAGCCGAGAGTCAGGGGCACCCAGAGAGAGCAGCATCCTATGCTGGGTGGGCAGCTGGGCTTCAATGACCTCCACAGGCTGGTACGACTCTACAGCAGGACTGCACACATGCTGCCAATTCTGGTGAACTGTTTATTCAGATGAAAATTTATCACTTAACAAAAACTTCACCACTTAGTGAAAAAGGAAGACATGGTAAGCTTGAATAATATTTACCTTAGGCCAAATGGGACCCAAAATTTTCCCCAAGGGGGGAGTGGGGGGATTGATGGTGGTCACAAAGCTGTGACAAGTACAAGGTGCAGAGACTTCTATGTATGATACCTAGGCACTCCTCAAATAGAGTTCTCTTCCCTAAGCACTACCTGCAGTATCTTAACATTATTCCTCCTTTCCTGACTCAGCACTCACAATTATTCAAGGCTGACAAGCACAGAAATATCTCATGCATGTGTTGTGAGAGAATGCAGTGTAAGCAATTTTTTTACTAAACTGAAGTTACTCCTAGAAGTACCAACACTTAAAAATAATTATACCTATTTTTGTTAGAAATCCTACTAAAATGTATTATGCAATTTTTTGCCTTCTTAATATGCTAGAAATAATTTATTTTCTTCTAAATGACTTAAGTTCCTCAGTGCTCATGATTAGCACTTGCTGTATGCAATACAGTTGTTCTCTCACGGACTTTTCTTAAGGTATGATAAGCTTGTCTCTACACTAGATGGACGCAGACTAAGGTGTTTTGCTAATTGTATCTGCTTTTCTAAGCACCCATTTCTCTGTACTGTCAGCTGAGAAGAGACATTTTATTATCCCTTTCTGTCTTTTTTACAGCTTGATATTTTGAGTCTCATTGACTTTTCTACCATGGCCCTATTGCTTTCAGCTTCCTTTTGTGGACTGTCTTGTAAACTTCTAAAGGGCACCGACTGTCCTCTTCTTATGTGTATCCCTGGCGCTTAGCACAGGACACAGTACAGAGCTGACTCAAAACAAATGCTTATTAACTACTGACTATTGTCCTGTGTGCCCGATGACCAAACTTTCTAGAGCTGTAAATCAAGGCCTTTCCTATGAAGTAGACAGGCTTTGGTATAAAGGGTTTATAATAGTGACTTTAGCTACTCAAAGGTCTTTTATGGTAATTTTTGAGATACGCTTATGTGCTAAAAGATTTAAGTTCCAGGATATCAGTGGGGTGTTTAAAAAAAAACAAACCAATCCACAGGTAAGATCTCAATAACTTAACAATGGTTTACACGCTATGATAATAACCTGATGCTTCACACTCCATCACTTAGGCCAGTCTTCCATGAGATGCCAGCTTACCTTCTCTGAAGTGTCTGGTGCTTCTGATCCATGTTCAGTTTCTTGTGTTTTCTGTTTCTTTAACTCCTGAATTTGCTGCTCATAGTAGACTGTTAGGGTATCAATTTTGGATTGGAGAGCTACACACTGCAAATAGTACAGGTTATGGAAACCCGTCTTAGAATGTGGACAAAACACAAAACATACACGTGATAGGGGCTAGAAAAAGCCTGCCTCTTCTTAGGCTTCCGTCCTCATCATTCCACCCAAATTACTCTCTCCAAAGTGACCAATGATCTTAGTTGTCAATCCAATGGCCTTTTCTCAATCTTCATTCCCCTTGACCTCTCTGCAGCCTTGATCCTGTCTTTTTTCTAGGTTTTTGGGACACCAGTCTTTTCTGGTTCTCCCATCTATCTGATGACTCGCTCCTTCTCTGTCTCCTTTGCTGGATCCTGCTCCAAATCATGCCCTCTAACTACAGGTGTCCCTCAGGGTTCTGCCCTGGGCCCTCTTCTCTTCTCCCTCCATAATGCTTCCTTTGGTAATCTCATCAGCTCCTATGGATTTAATTACCATCTCTATGCTGAGGATTCCCAAATCTACCCATCCTGCCCCAATCTCTCTGCTGACCTTAGGTCTTGCATCTCTAATTGCCTTTCACACATCTTGAACTGGGTGTCTAGTAGACATCTTAAACTAAACGTGTCCAAAACTGAACTCATTTATCTTTCCAACTAAACCCTCCCCGCTCCTACCTTTCCTATTACCATAGAGGGTAACACCATCCTTCCAGTTTCTTGGGCTCACAACCTAGGAATCATCCTCAGCTCCTCACTATCTCTACCTCCACTATCCAAGCTGTCAACAAGTCCTATTGATTTCACCTTTGCAACATCTCTCAGATGCGCCCCCTTCCCTCCTCTGACCCTGCCACCACCCTAGTGCCCCACACCTGGACTCTTGCAATCGCCTGCTGGTGCATCTGCCCACCTCAAGTCTCTCCCCACTCTAATCCATCCTCCCTTCAGCCCCTAAAGTGATTTTCCTAAAGCTCAGGTCAGACCATATCAGCCCCCTACTCATACCTGAGTAGCTCTCTATCACCTCCAAGATCAAGTACAAAACCCTCTGTTTGGTGTTCAAAGCCACGATGTAGCCTTTCCAGTCTTCTTGCTCTTTACTCCTTCACAGGCCCTCCTCATTCACTGGCCATTCCATGAACACCACACTCCATCTCTTGGCTAAAGGCATTCTCTCTGGCTGGTCCCCAGGCCTCAACTATCCACCTACTGCCTTCATTCCCAGCTAAAACCTTATCTTCTAAAGGAAGCCTATTCCAGCTCCTGTGAATTCCAGTGCCTTCCTTCTGTTGATCATCTCCAGTTCATCCTGTATGTAGCTTGTTTGTGCATATCTGTTTGCAAGTTGTCTCCTCTGTTAGAGTATGAACTTCTTGAGGTCACCGCACATCCTTCTCCACTAACCCAAGACTCGAGGCAGCATGGTGGAGTGGCTAGAGTGTTGAATTTGGAGGCAGAAAGAAGCTCTGGATTCAAATCCTATGCATCTTTCTACCTCCAACTCCGACACTGCGCCATGCTCCTCTTAGTCATGGATTGGTGGAGAGGGGGGGTACCCTTCTTTCTGACAGTTCTTTGGGCTTCTATCTGATGAGAAAGTCACTGTGCTTGTTCAGCAGTTGGGAACTTGAGATAAGTATAATTAGGCATAATTGTAAAACCACATCAGTTTGAAAAAGAAACTGAACCAACAATTTCATGATGAATTGAGTTCAGATGATTTGAATTTCATTGAACAAAACAAAACAAAACACTAAGGCATTTTTAAAAATCACTAGGAAATCATTTACTTAAATTTTGGTAATTTTTGGTAACCACATTTTGGTGGTTTTGAATGACTAATGAAGCTTTATTGTGTTAACAGCCTTCACAGAGGAATTTCTGTCCCCCATCAGTCCCCTCTCTCTTCAGAGACATTTTCATCTACAATAACCAATACCATCCCCCTCAGAACTAGGCAATGGAAAGTACACTGGCCTGCAAGTTGGAAGATCAATTTCTTAGTCCATCTTTTGTCATTAAACACATTTTGAGTAAGTCACTTGTCTTTCTGGGCCTTGATTTCCTCATCTGTAAAATGAAGGGGCTGGGTGAGGTGATCTCTGAGGCTCCTCCCATCTCTAATATGCTCTCTTTAGTAGCATGCATGCTCTCTAAGCTGGGTGCTCAGTGGCAGCAGTGGCTTAAAGGATCTGCTCTTCTGACTGGCACTTACCTTCTTCTGCCTCTCTTCTGCCAGCTCTTGGTATTCAGAAAGCTTCTTCTCCTCTACACCTTGAGACTGCTCCAGAGCAGAGAGCTGAAACAAGACAGCACGGTGAAAACTAGCACACTAGCACACACTTTCACTGCTCCCCGGGAGGCGCAGACAATGTATTCTCAGTCTGAGTCTTCTCAGTCAGAGCACATTCTACCTCATATGCCCAAAAGCATCACTGACAACCCTACTGCACAATTTGGTTTCCTCTTTCTTGGGAAAGTCAACGAAAGAAGGAAGTCATAAAACAAGCAGAAATGCCAAGGCTGGATGTCAGTAGCTACCTGTTCTACCAAAAGCATCACCCCATTCTTCTATAAGTTCAGGGCACTGCTCGGGGCACACAGAGATTAATGGATGTGTCCAAGAACACAGAGCTAGGAGTGTCAGGGGCTAGATGTGGAGGCAGCTCTAGCACCCTCTCTACTGTGCCACCCTGCCTTTCATTTAGTCACATGAACCAGACTAAAGAGCTTAGGTGACATGCCTCAGACAACAACTTTTTCAGGATACTGTTACTTACTGTCACCATCAACAATAAGTCTAGAAAAGACAGACTTCTGGGCAGTTGGTGTGCTGGAGCAATTTTGAGGCTAAAGAATTTAAAAACAGTCTCCCCCCTTCCCCTCCGCTGCTGAATAGCTACAAGATCCAAAGACTCCAAAGAGGCTGAATGGCCAGCCTCGTTGCTTCAGCATGGCTCACCTTTTCTTTCAGGTGAGTGAGTTTCTGCTGAGTAGCATTTCTCTCCTCACACACTTCTCGGTACTGTTGCAAATGTTCGTGCTTGGCAGAAGCCAACAAACGCTCACACTTGGCTTCCCACTGGGATCTCAGCTCAGCTTGCGCCAGAGACACCTGCCCAGAGAACTTACGTAAGATCTTAAAACTTATAAGGATCCTTAGGACATTGGGGAGGGAGATTTTCTAAGCCCAGATAGTTTCTCCCTGTATAGGATAATAAGCCAATAGCTCTTAATATGTTTCTTCTTCCCTGGTGAGGCTGTCCCAGTAATCCTTCTAAGTTCTGAGACCCTTGTGCTAATAAGGGGCAGAGTCTATCAGTAATGTTACATTTGAAAATTAAGGTAAGCCAAGAGACAATGATCTGAGCATGATCAATTTGTTAGTTAGACTAGCAGTAACCAATAAATTGGGTCAATGGCCTCTCTCAATGACCAAAGACTTAAGGTAGGGCTTAATATAGTTACGGGGTGTGCGGAGTTGGGTAGGTGAGAAAGATAATGACTGGTTACAAGGTAGACAGTTTCATGGGGGTGGGGACAATACGAAAGACAATTTTTAAAGAAAGCAGGTGCTAGTGACCACCCCTCTGACAATCAAGGAATGTTAATTTTTTTATGGGACCCATCAGCATCTTGCAGGCCTTCTTGGCAGACCTAAGTTAGCAGACTCCTAGAAGGCTCTGCCAGGGAGATAAGACCCTCAAGGACAGGCAAGGATGAGTAATATACCTTTTGGGGATGATAAGTTAATTTGTAACTTTAACTCAGAGGAAAAGCTGACTCAGATATGGAGACTGAGTGATTACACAAAATGGGGTAGTACTACAGAATATGGCCAATCATAAAATAGAATCAATTATGAAATGATACAGAACAATTTTAAGTTCCTCAGTAGTCAATTCTCTGATATCCTCATGGTGGTTGAACCCATGAGGACACAGAGGCACCCATACCCACAAAAGGAGTGCATGACTGGACAGCGTCACACAGACTTGGCCCTGGGCTCAGAACTTGCTGTGGTGTCTCCTCTCTTTGCTGCTGCTGTCTTGGACCTCTCTGCATGCTGGGGATCTGAATGCATTCGCCTGGACCTTTCATAGCCTGGCTGACCTTGTTTATTCCTCCTAGATCCCGCCCCTGCGCTGCCTACTGTACACACCTAACCGGTTGGGCTTGTGCTCCTAGCCAAATCTGTGCTTCAGCCACCTCCCTTTGTGACTTCTTGCCATATCTTTTCTTATCACACTGGAAATCCTTTGCTCCCCATTCTTTTCAACCACTGAAACGTCCCTGGAAGGACGGCATTTTACTTGCCATCCATCCCCTTTGGCACTTGTAGCTGAGGTCTTCAGGGAATACTCATAAAAACCTCAAATGGAATCTGGGAAACTTGTTCTTATGTTTGAGGTTTTCACTTCTTCATGCAGGTCTGTGATCTTCTGTTTTCTTACTCCCACACCTCCCCTGTACCTGTTCAGCAGCTGTCTGATCTGTAGATACTTGAGCCTGTTTCAGGAGCTGCCGAAGTTTTTCTAATTCTTCCTGATGTGATTTGCGAATTTCATCAATCTCTTCCTCAGCCTGACTTCGCTCTTGGGCAGACTTCTTTTTCCTCTCTGAGAGGGTCTTTGGAAGGAAGAAACTAAATCTTAATTGCTAACAGTCTAGCAGAGGTTAAATAAATGTGACTATATCCCTAGAAGTGAACTTGCTTGGTTCCTAGAAACTTAAAATATTTTATTTAGTAATTTTTTCTTTTATATCCCAATTGAAATATGCTTTAAGACCAGAGATCTCTGTCTCCACGGCAGGCAGTCTTTCCTAGTGCTGAAATGAATTTCCAAATCAAGAAGGGTCCTTCACCGACCAAGAAGGTACCTCCCGAACCTTCCCTAAAAGCTAGAATTGGCTGACTTGCCTAGGCATGTCTTGGTGAGAAACTTCAGCAACAAAACTTACCTTCTCCAGAGATTCTTTCTCAGCCTGAAGGTCAGCCAGCTCCTCTTCGAGAGTTGCCAACTTCAGTTCCAATTGCTTGCGGTTCTGCTTTTCAGTTTTAAATTTGGACTGGGCTTGCTCTGATGTTTCTTGAAGTTCTAAAAAACAGAAGCAGATAGCTGGTCCGAGAACAGATGAATGAAATCTAATGGCTAGGCTTGGCTGCCTGGGTGACTGTAAGCATCTTCAAGGTGTGAATCCTTCACCATACCATTCCATTTATTTGGGAGAATTCTTCCCTCTTTTGGTTCTTTTGTCATCTCTCTAGGAAGTTTATTGAGGCTGCTATGCAAAGACACACTCACATAGTCATTCCTTTACCCGCTCACATTTAACTGACAGGCAAGTCACTTGTTTGTGCCTCCACTTGAACTTGTATGAAGTAAAGGAAATACCCCCACCTGGAAGGGATGTTACTTCTACTCTGGAACATACAACTTCTGTTCACTAACTAGTCCACAGAATACAGAATCTCTTTAGTTTGTACATAATGAATCCGCCAAGTAGGTCCCTGGGCCAGAGAGATCCAACCCTCCGGTACTGGTGACATTTTTACTGACTGGTTTTTCATGATGGCTCCCTTCGCTCCCTTCAAAAACAGTAGTGTGACATATGTTTAAAGTAAATTTAAATACCTTTCTTTCAGCATTATACAGCATCCTTTAAGATGACAGGGAGTGACATGGGACAATACAGAGGCAGGGCTGGGAATCACTGGATTGAACCCCAGTTCACAACAGACAATAAATGTAATAATGAATTTGTAGGTATTTAACAAAATATTTGTGGAATTGGACATAAGATACTTTGCTTCACACGGTAAATTTACATTCTGCTGACATCTACTCTCCAACTCTCAGACCAGTCAGAGTATAACTGTGTTTCTTAACACGTACCCAACTTATAATCATGAATGTGTGTGGGGGAGATTCTGTGGTTCACCAAGGTGGCAGAGTAGAAGCACAATAACTCAGGCAAACAGAGAACTCCATGTTATAGCGTAGTTCTAAATGTACCACCAATGAGAGAAGGAGCTGTGGAAACTTAAGTCCACTTGCATCCTTGCATGAATAGTCTTTTTGGAGTAACGAATATATTGTCTTTTACATTAAAAAAATGACGTTACTAACCAAAAAAGTATTTTTTTGAAAAATATTTTTTAGTACTGATGATAGATTTGTACTAATTCATCCAACTCTATTTTTCTTTATGCTGGATTAGATGACCCCAAGGGTCCTTTCCAGTTCTCACATAGTAGGAGTCTCTCTTTCATGGTTCTCCAGCGGTCTCATGAACAATATGCTAAATGAAGAAGGTTTGGTAGACAACAGTGGTTTCCAGGCCAGGGTTTAGAATGGTCAAAGTCAGTCCAGCCCCTGTTACCAAGAACAGACCTGTGATCTGTGCCTGCAATTGGCTGATCTGAGCTTCCCGGAGATCTGCTTCCTTCAGGCATTCTGTCAGCTGCATCTGCAGGTCTGTTTCCTTCTTCTGCTGAGCGGTCAGTTTCAGCTGCAGACTGGAAACCTGGGCAGTCACCGATGCCAACTCTTCTGTGACCTTAGCCTGGTAAATCAAGCAGAGGAATCAGGAGTAAGCTTAAACCACAAGTTACACAACTAAGCACTAGTCCTAATGCTATCCTCTGCCAACACACAAAAACTGTGCAATGAATAGGTAACAGCTCCTTACTAATACTGAGGCCAGGACCCCAAGGATGATAGTGTTTGGCATCTACTGTTTAACCTCACTTAATTGAATGGGAGAGACATAAGCACATATGAAGGGAGTTGGGAGTTCCCAGAATAAGGTTTTTATATAGAAAGATGGCCTATACCCTATCCAGCAAGACTTGATTGATTTACTTCTGAGCTAGCTGGTTCACTGAACTTCAAATCAGATTCTAAACTCATTAAAGTGGCTAATCTTTTCCTTGTAAAAATATCAATATAACTAAGTTATTAAATGAGAGGGATTCACTGGGTAAAGAAAGCTTAATTGCATATGTATAACAGTAAAGAGGAAAAAGGTAAGGGAGAATTTTTTTAAAGGATTAGAGACATACTAAATGTTGCATTAAGCAAAGGGAAGACTTTGAAATCTGCATAATCCAATTCAGGAAAACAAACCTCTTTTAAGTTCCTATGATGTACAAGAAAATAAAATTTAAGAGGCAGGCAAAAGAAAGGCCTTTAAGAGTCAGCGATACTAATGAGTCTTGGTAATTTCCAAAGGCGCTTCATTTAAGAAGATATTGATCAATGAACCAATGGCTAAGTGTATACTAGATGGCCGTGCTAAGTACTGGGGATCCAAAGAAAGAAAATTAAATAGTCCTGCCCTCAAAGTGCTTACATTCTTTAGGGGGAAAAGGAAGAGAAGAACAGCCAAACTGGCGAATGTGACTGTAATGTGAATATTAGATTATGAAGGCAACAACTAGGCACAGAAAAGCATGAACATGGCAGCCACTATACAAATTCAGCGAGTCACGACAGTCATTGAGGAGCACCAAAAGGTAAGGTTTGAGGGCTATTTACAAAAATTGCTTCTTTCTGGGGATTGACTCAATCTGCTTAATTATGACAAATTTTCTGCAACTAACCAAGGATGCTGTGAGGTCTTAAATCATGAGAGACATGAAAAAAACTCCCATGTTTGTATCAAAGCAAGCCCTCACACGTTAACTTCTGAGAGACTGAGATTTAAGACTACTTAAAAAAATGTTCAACATGACATAATGCAGTTAAAAATTTTTTTCATGTGGCCTATGCCATCATACTAGGATTATCTGCTCTAAAAAGAAATATCCTTTCTCTATGGTTGACCTCAAAGTTATCCTTCACTTCTGCCCATCTTGTGACCACTGGAAATGCCATGTTGCACTGAGGTCTGTGTATTACACGATTACCATCTTCCTAGAGCACTGCAGAGCTTTGACCTAAACAGTACCAGGACCCTAGAAAATAGCTTTTTTTTTTTGGTTAGGCAAACGGAGTTAAATGACTTGCCCAGGGTCACACAGCTAGTAAGCATCAAGTGTCTGAGGTCAGATTTGAACTCAGGTCCTGCTGACTCCAAGGCTAGAGCTCTATCCACTGCACCACCTAGCTGCCCCTGGAAAATATCCATTTTCTAAAACATTTTGCACATGTAATACGTGCAGCAGTGGCTCTGGAGGGGCAGCTCTCCATTGTTCCAGGAGACTTTGCAGTCCAGTGACTGTTACCCCAAATATGCAGTCTAGCCAGCACCTATGTATGTATCCTCTCCATAAAGAGCGCTACTGAACCAACAGTTGCATTTATTGGAGCTGAACATGCAATTAGCAGACTCCCCTGAATATACTATCCACATTTTTTCTTCTGAGTTCTTCATTCTCAGTTATCTTGAGTTATTATACAACAAGTATCCCAGATATGTATGGCTTGTTAATTTTTCAAATTATTCAATTCCCAATGATGATTATTTCCATAAACGTCTTCTTGCAGTTTCCAAGAATGAATAATATTAATAAAGATAGGAGAATATAGGGCATTGTGAGGGCTCTAAGTAGTGTCCCATAATAATTTAGGTAGGAGGATGTTTTTAGGCCCATTTAAGACTGCTGGACTACAACAAAAAACTTTCAGGGGAAAGAGGCAGCTCTAGTCTACAGATGTTTGCTTCTGGCTGTGAAAGGAAGGCATTAATATCTGAAGAGAATGCCTAAGGGTTCCCATAGCCCTGGCACTATACAAAGGCAGTCAAACAGACATGGGCCTGTGCCCTGCAGGAACTTTGCTATGTTTAATGCTTTCTGGTATAATTTGAGTGCAATTCTCCCATTCTCCTCTTCATTCTTAATTTTTCCATCTACAATCTACCTTGAGGTTCTAGGCCTTTTGCTCTTCCAAATGATTTCCTCATAATTTTGCTTCACTCTCTATAAAGCAAACCTTTGGGAGTTTGATTAGCGCAATACTAAATCTATCAATTTATTTGTCATCATTTTTATTATATTGGTGTGGCTTAACCATAAACAATAAATACCCCTCAAAATATTTATTTCTTTAAAATGTTTTGTAATTGCATCTACAGAATTCTGGAGCATGACTTAGTACAGTGATTCCCAGATATTTTATGCATTTTTGTAGTTATTCTGAATGGTACTTCCCTTTCAATTATTTCCTTCCAGATTCTGTGACCATTATGTAGAAATGCTGACGATTCTGTGGATTTACTTGGCATACTGCTAATGTGCTGAAGCTATTAATTATTTCAATTAGTTTCCAAAGAAAATTATGTCATCAGCAAAGGGGGAAAATTTTGTCTTCTCTTTGCCTTTGCTCATGCCTTTAATTTCTTTCACTCGTCTTACTACTAGTGCTAATATTTCTAAAACTATGTAAAAAAATAGCAGGGAGAACTGATGCAAAGTGAAGTAAGAAGAGCTGGGAGATCATTTGTGCACATTAACAGCAATGTTGTAATGATCAACTAACGGTGAAAGATGTGGCTACTCTGATCCAAGACAATTCCAAAGGACTCATGATGAAAAAATGCTAACCACCTCCAGAGAGAGAACTGATGAACTCTGAGTACAAACTGAAGTATAATTTTCTCACTTTTTTTTTGCCTTTTTCAAAAAAAAATATGGCTGACATGGAAATGTTTTGCATGACTTCACATGTATAACTGACATCATTTTGTTTGCCTTCTCAGTGAGTGGGGGTGGGAAAGAATTTGGAACTCAAAATTTAAAAAGAAAAGAATGCTAACAAACAAATAATTAATTGATTTTTTAAAATAGTGGGGGAAAAGGACATTCATGCTTTATTCCTGGGTTGACTGGGAAAGCTACTAATGTTTTTCCATAATAAATAATGCTAGCTTTTGTTTTTAGGCATATAGTTTTTATTATATTAAAAACGGCCACACACTTGATACTTACTAGCTGTGTGACCCTGGACAAGTCACTTAACCCCAACTGCCTCACCAAAAATAAACTAACAAACAAACAAATAAATAAAAAATAAAAATAAAAAATGGCCCTCCTCTGTCTGCTTTGTAATCTGCATACATAATATAATCATGTGTTTTGAAGTATATATGTTTTTAATATGATTATGCTGTATACCCAGTAGAAATCTGTGGTAGTAAAAAAATTTTTTATAATAATTTTTTATTGCTGTTAATTGCTTTTTTGTTGAGATTTTACTCCACATTTTTGAATCAATATTTATTAGTGATTGTAGTTCTCCTCTGCTTTCTCCTTCCTTGGCTTCAGGATTAGTATTGCTTATAGCTTATAAAAGGTGTTTACTAGAATATTTTATTTCTAGATTTTTGAGAATGACTTGTGTAGTAGAGGTATTAATTATTCTTTAAATGTTTGATAGAATTCAACTGGAAATCCATTTAGGCAAAAGATTCCCCCTCTGCTACCTTTGGGAGGTTCCTTTACTGATAATTTAATTTCACTATTTGAAACTGGATTATTGAAGATTTCTATTTCACAGAAGACTTTCATATGAAAACAGATAATACTCATATAGATATACATATTGGAAACCAAGACATAGCCAATTATAAAATTCAGGAATAATAATGATGTCTTAGGCAGGTATGATTGAGCCCAAGTAGAGAGAAGTAGCATTTATCTGCTGGACTGTTGGCATATGCTGGACACCGTGCTACCTAAAGCACAAACTCTGTTATACGTGATTTAGGCTTCCTTATCCAGGCCTCATGAAGAAAAGTATTAACAATGAAATTGCCATCTAAGATATTTCACAGCCAATCCCAAAGCAAAAACCTGTATTCTAACTAATCAATGGGCTATAAAAAGAATGTGTGTTTAAGTGAATGCTTTCATTTGAGTAACAAGAAAAAGAGTAAGTTAGGTTAATTACATAACCAATAGCATGTGTTGGGAAAATTCTCTAGAGTTAGCTTTAGTGTCCAGCTCTTTGCTCTTGGGATACCAAAATATCACTACATCATATGGCAAGAATAACAATGAACTCTCTGCTTGACCAATGAGTTTACTAATGCTTTAACGTATACTGTACTAGCACAGAAAGAACACTGGGCTAGGAGATAAAATACTTGGATTCTAATCCTGGCTCTGCTGTTGATGGATTAGGAGTGAAACCGTGGACAAATAACTTAATCTCTCTAGGACTGTTTCCTCATCTATAAAATGAGGATAATACTATTTGCCCTGCTTACTTTGCATGGTCACTGTAAGAATCAAATGAGGTAGTGATATGGAAGTACTTTGAAAAATCACATGGTACTATACAACTAAAAAGTATTATTATTATAATTAGTATCAGAAATATAATTGAAATGGTCTATTTGTAATCCATTAGTATATAATTCGAATCTACACTAACCAGTACCAGAAGTTTCCTACTGATTTAGTATGGGAGGCAAATGATTAACAATACTGACAGTATAGTAATACTTCATTTACCCTGAATCATTAAGATGAGGTCAACTAATTTCTAGATAAATGAAATTTACTCTGTGAAATGCCAAAACCTACTACCCAACCCCCAGTTTGAATCAAACAGGAAAGAAATCTTTCTATGGGGTATATATTTCACTTCCCAATTAAGCAAAGTACACAGAAGTTAATTTTTTGTTTGTTTTTGTTTTCTTTTTTGGTGAGGCAATCAGGGTTAAGTGACTTGCTTAGGGTCACACAGCTATTGTCAAGTGTCTGAGGCCAAATTTGAACTCAGCTCCTTCTAACTCCAGGGCCAGTGCTCTATCCACTGTGCCCACCCACCTGCCTCTGAATATAATTTTAAACTCTTCTTAATGATTAGTTCCACCATGAGGGAAGTAGCAGTAAGGTGAGTTAGTAGTATAAAAAAAATCATGAAATTGAGAAGATGGCATTATCCCTAGCATAAGGGAATAGACTGGCTTGCCTCAATGACTGTCTGAAACTTGGAACTGAGTCTTGGTGATTCTGCACCCACACATGGTTTGAATACATGCCCAGATGTGAGCCAGCAGAAAGCCTTGCTGAGGTTAGCCAAACAACCAGGAGAACAGGGAGGAGTTATGTCTGGAAACAATAGACAGTTCAGTAGTTTGCTCCCTTCAAAGGAGAAGCAGAGTTGCCATGCACAAAAGCCCTGGACTCCTGCTGACTCAAAGTCAGTAAAAAGCCCTACATCCCAGTCAGACAAGCAAACAGACACCTGAGAGAGCAAGTCAGTGAGCACATGCAAAAGCGTCAGAAAGAAGGAAAACACTGAACACCTACACCACGTCCAGGCGGCCTCCCTCGGTCCCACCCCTCAACGAATCCTGCTGCTGACATCAGGTGCTGGCAGAGAAAGGAGCAAGAAGAAAAACAAAATGTTCTGAAAAACAAGCAGCAAAAGCATCTAAGTCAGACCAAGAGTGATGAGTGTCAGAGAAGGTGGGCTGCAGGGCTGGGGGCCGGGCCTAGCAAGTCACTGAGGAATCTGTAAAAGGAGCGTGGATTAGATCCCCTCCGAGGTCCCTGGCAATTCCAATAGGTTATGGCTACACAGAAATACAAAAGACAATCCTGTCGCAGTGAGTAGTTAGAACTATTTCCGTGCCTGAGGCAGGAGAACTGTGGTCTTCTCCCTGACACAGGAGGAGTCCCCAGGAAGAAAATGAAAGGAAGCAGGTACAGGATGAGAGACTGGGAAGGGGGTGGGAATGAAGAGGAAATGGTCAACATCAGCTCAGTTTAAATGTGACTAGCGGGGATGAAGTGAGCTCTATATGGGTGGTCTCTCATCATGCAAAGCCTCGTTAGGTCAGCAGCCTCGTTAGCCCCAGCTAGTCTGAGAGGGACCAAACAACGTTCTATACGGTTTAGCAAACCTGGGCCAAAGGGCAAGGAAAGGAAATGTGGGAGGGAAAGAAAGAAGACAGAATGAGAAAGGAGGAAAAGAGAAGGGAGTAACAGAAATATCACACAAGAGACACGTGTTAGGCAGCTTAGGGACCACTCAATGTCATAAGGTGCCTACCCCTAAATCCAGAATGGGCTGAGAAGTGAGAATGGGACCTGTCACACTTGGTGAGAAGATGGGGCTAGAACATACCAGAACGAGGAAGAACTCATGTTAAGGCAATAATTAAAGACTATAACAACAACACTGACCTCATGAAAGAATCCTCAATCATGAAAGAGCAGAAGCCAGTAAATAAACTGTACAAGGTTTGACCTTGTGTGTGTGTCCATGCACAGTTATACGTTGTCCTTAGTGAATTTCCCATGAAAATAAAATGATCACAGACCATTTCTCCTCCACCATAACGTAATCTCTCCAAACCTAGCAGGTGAAAGGGCCAATATTTCTCAGCTAAAGATGTGCAGCCCAAGCAAAAAGTCTCCAATCTCATTGTTAATGACAGGAACATAAACAAACCTAGTCCTTAAAACCAGCCAGTCCCACCCAAAGCCCTAATCCTAGGCACTGCAGACCCTAATGGTATTTTTTGACTCTGACATTAGCACTCAGAGTCTGAAATCAGTTTCAATCTAATGCTTACAAAGCAGAGGCAGTGTGAGGGAGCAAGAGGAGTGCTACCCTCCTCTTCTCCCAGGATGGTGCTGAGATAAGAGCTATGAAAGCCCAAGGCACTACACAAAAAATCATGGAGTAGGAATGAAATGGAAGGGCTTCAGAAACACCTTTAAAGATGTAAACTCATTAGAATTAAACCTTAAGCCCCAGAGAGATGTCCTACTAAAAGTAAGTTGGGCTATGAAGATTATCAGAGGTTTATTGTTATTTTGTTTCTGCAGGATAACTGTTTCTACCAACCTGAGGTTTTTTAAGTCAATGTGCAAAAGTGATACACACACATACACACAACTTTAGTGAATTCAGAACATGTTAGCAGGTGAAAATGTGGGGAAAGTACCCAGGAATTACTTTGAAATAGGGACTGGGATCGTGTTGGCTCTACTGGAAAAATCTAGGGCTCTCTTTTTAAAAGGTCTTAGCTGTCTCCTGGCCCTCGGGGCTGCTCTTCCCGGTGCTCATGATTTTACCTTCTCCTGCTCAGCATGTAACACTCTTGCCTGCGTGTTTTCCGTGGCTGTTTGCAGGGTGCTATTTCTCTTCTCCATCAGCAGGTTATTCTGCTCCACATACCTATGAAATATAGGATTAGGTCCACAAACTGCACACACACAAAAGTCGAGCGGAGGGTCAGAGTGATCCTGAACAATGCCATACAATGGACAGGAGGCGTGAATGTTTGAAACCTCCTTGGTACAGACAGCTCTCTCATTGCTGTAAGCCAGCCTGTTTGGTGTGGACATTAAATAAATAGTGTTTATTTTTAGAGCCAGTTCACTGCACTATTACCTCTGACTGCGTTCAATCAGATCAGTAATCTTGTCATTTTGTTCTTCTATCCGATTTTTCTTCTCAAGGACCTCCTGCTTCAATTTTTCATTTTCCTAAGTTTGAAATATAGGGATAACTCTTTTACAAATAACAGCTTTAAGAGAATCAACATATTTAAGTCAGCAGAAGCTGGTCTTATTTAGACCATGTTTGGAGGCAAGAAGCAATCAGTACTCTCAGCCAAGCTATTTAGAACCCCCTGGAGAGAAGGTCTGTATTCAACTCCAGTAAACCAGCCCTCAAACCCCACTTCATCTTAAACAGACCACTTGATTTTTTCCAGAAGATTAAGAAAGGGAGTCTAGGGGAGACAGTCCTATGCAACACAAAAGGGAACTGGCACGAGGTCAGGTGTACATGACACCACCCTCTAGTTAACAACACCTGCTGGTATAATTCTTAGTCTAGGAAGACTAGCAGGGCTGAAGTCAGTTCCCAAGCCCCAGCCCAAAGCAAACTCTCCTCTGTCTTAGCTGCTGTGGCTCTCAATAGCTCTCCTTTTTTTTTTTTTTTGCTAGGCAATGGGGTTAAGTGACTTGCCCAGGGTCACACAGCTAGTAAGTGTCGAGTGTCTGGTCTGAGACTGGATTTGAACTCATGTCCTCCTGACTCCAGGGCCAGTGCTCTATCTACTGCGCCACCTAGCTACCCCCTCTTTTTTTTTTTCACATTCTACTGTACACTAAAATTATCTGTACACAGGTCTTGTGTCCTCCATAAGATTCTAAGTTTGTTAAGGGCAGGAATCATGTATTGTGTTCATCCCATTCATATTTACAGTTATGATTACTGTGTATTTCCCTCCATCCTGCGTTTCCTCTGTTTATTCTACTCTCTCTTCTCCTTTCACCCTGTCCCTCCTCAAAAGTCTTTTGCTTCTGACCATCACCTCCCCCCCAATTCACCTTTCCTTCTATCAGCACCCCTTCTCCTATTATCCCTCTTCCCTCTCACTTCCCTGTAAGGTAAGATACATTTCTATGCCTAACTCGGTACGTATGTTATTTCCTCTTTGAGCCAATTCTGGTGAGAGTAAGGTTCAAACATTGCCAGCAACCCCCTCCCCTACAAAAACTCTTTCACAAATCTTTAATGTGAGATAATTTACATCATTTTACCTCTCGCTTCCCCCTTCTCCCAGTGGATGCTTTTTTTCACCCCTTAATTTAATTTTTTTTGATATTATCCCAGTATATTCAATTCACACCCATGAGCTGTCTATGTATACTCTTTCTAGCCGCCTCCCAAAAGAAAAAATTCTTAGTAGTTACACAAGTATCATCTTCCCATGCAAGAATATAAATGGTTTAATCTTACTGAAAAATCCCTTATGATTTCTCTTTCCTGTTTAACTTTCAGTGGATTCTTTCCATTTCTATTTTACCCTCTGGTTCTAGGATATCAGGACAATTTTCCTTGATAATTTTTTGAAATATGATGTTTAGGCTCTTTTTTTGATCATGGCTTTGGATGATCATCCAATAATGCTTAAATTATCTCTACTTGATCTATTTTCCAGGTCAGTTGTTTTTCCAATGAGATATTTCACATTTTCTTCTATTTTTCATTCTTTTGATTTTGTCTGATTGTTTCTTGATGTCTTATGGAGTCATTAGCTTACATTTGCTCAATTCTAATTTTTAAGGAATTATTTTCTTCAGTGAGCTTTTGTATTTTCTTTTCCATTTGGCCAATTCTGCTTTTTTAAGGAGTTCTTCTCTTCGGGGGATTATTGTGCCTCTCTTAACACTTGGCCTAGTCTATTTTTTTAAGGTGTTAAAGTATTCAATAATTTTTTTTGTGCCTCCTTTACCAAGTTGTTCTTTCTTTCTCTTTTTTTTATATTACTGATTTTATTAACTTTTTAAAACACAACTATAGTTGAATATTACAACAAAAACAACAGCTAGTAGTGAGTAGTGTCAAGATGACTGTAGTCCTTCACTCATTCACTATTGCATACAAAAGCCAGCATTACAATGAAGAGCATTCACTGGCCCCCCCATTAAGAGGTTTGACACTGAACCCCACCTCTGGGATGATGCTCATCATCCTCATAAGCTTCTCCACTGTAATGGCTTTTTTTTTTTTTTAGGCAATTAGGGTTAAGTGACTTGCCCAGGGTCACACAGTTAGTAAAGGTCAAGTGTTTGGTCTGAGGTCACATTTGAACTTAGGTCTTCTGACTACAGGACCGCTGTTCTACCCACTGCGCTACCTCGCTGCCCCCAGCTTCTTCTTTCTTGAGATGGGTCAAAGTCCACCAGTTCTACCTGATCCATATCTTCAGTCTCCTCTATTCCTTTCTTTCAGGCAGTAATTCTTCCAACAAAGATAGCTTATCTGATGAAAGAAAGCCATTCTCTGGGAAATTTACCTTAAACTCAATTATCAGAATTCCTTTCTCATATCTTCATTCACACATTTGACATCTCCATGTTTAACAATCTGACCAGGATGAGAAGTAATGACGATAGTTCTATTATTAAGAGTTGTTATTGATTTCTGAAAGCCACACAATGCTTAAACCAACTGGATATCCACACATGTGAAAAGGTCCTCCCCTCATGTGTAAATATAGCATTGTCCTTCTGATCCAAAATAATGATAATACCTCCTGGCTCAAGTCCTGGCTCCAGGAATTCAAGGAATTCCTTCACCGTGGAATGTTATCTTCTGACCATCTTTCATGCCCTTGTCAGTATGAACCTCCAGAATCTTCTCTTGAACAATTTTCCTTCCATTACAGCTTTTACATCTATCTTTAGGTCTGATTCGTCCCCATGCCCTTGGCATTCCACGCAAACTGACTGAATTTGCTGAACCATTCCAGGTACTATCTGATGAGTTCTTATTTGCATTCCAGTACCTCTGCAGTTGGGACAGCATATTACAGCTCCTTTCTTACCACCCTGTCTGTCTTTCACATTTATCACAAATTACATTCTTTTGCAAAACCAGTTGTACCATTATATAAATCTTCTAAGGTCACCAACAACTGAGGAACATTTTAACTCTTGGTTCTCTTTCTTCCCTTTGAATTCTTCTGCTTCCTCCAAAAAACATATCAAAGAGATCCACTGGAGAACCAAAGCACCACCAGAACCACCCTCTTGGACGGCTTGTTCTCCACCTTTGTCACATAAATCTCTTTTCTTTGCATCAGAAAGCAATTCCCAAGTTTGAGAAATCTGCCTGAACTTTCCTTCTTCGTTTGGATTCTTATCTGGGTGATATTTTAAGGCTAGTTTTCTATATGCCTTTTTTAGTTCTTCCTGGGAGGCATTGGGTTTTACCCCCAAAACATCATAATAAGTAGTTTCCTTCACCATTTTTTATAGCCAGGGAGCTATGCTTGCAGTATGCCTGGTATCAAAATACCTGTCCAAGGTGGGGTGAGAGGGGACCGCCCAGGAGCTGGTTGGGGTGTTGGGGGATCGAGTGGAAGAAAGAGAAGATTGGGGGAAGAGGGCACGAGTTCTTGTGTGCAGAGTTCAGACAGCATTAGCTGCTACCCTCCACTTCTCACAGACTTTTCTGGAAAGTTCTGCTCTTTCTTGCATCACTTTCATTTCTTTTCCCCATTTTTCCTCTGCCTCTCTTATTTGATTTTGAAAATCCTTTTTTGAGCTCTTCCAGGGCCTGAGACCAATTGACTTTTTTCTCTGGAGCTTTGCATGTAGCTACTTTTAAATCTCATTATCTTCTTCTATGTTTTGTTCTTCCCTGTCAAGACAGTAATTTTCTATGGTCAGGTTCTTTTTTTTGATGTTTGCCCATTTTTCTAGCCTTTTTCTTGACTTTTAACTTTTTTTTAAAGGTGGGCTCTGCTCCCAGGGTAGAGGTGGCACCATCCTAAGCTTTTTTTGTGCTGTTGTGTTCAGAGCTAGTTCTGGGGGTTTGTAGGTTTCAGTTCTTCCAAGATGGTGTGATCTAAGGAGAGGTGCGGTCAATGTTCTCCTGGCTTGTGTTCTGGTCTCTAAGTGACCACAAGTACTATTTTCTACCCTGGAACCGTGACCAGGGTCCCTGTTCCTACTTGTCCTCCTCCTTGCCCTGGGACTGTGACCCAGAACCACGAATGGGCAATGCAACAGAATCATGTACACTGTGCCAGGCAGAAAGTCTCTTATAAGTTCTTTATGACCAGTTTTCTGACCCCCTTACTTTCTGTGGGCTAAGAGCTCCAGAAGCCACTGCAGCCACTGATTCAGTGGCCCCCCAAGACCTGCTGAGCCTTGCTGAGGCTCAGTCTGCAATGGTACAGCCTAGCCTGGACTATGCTCCACTCTCACCCTTGTGAGACAGACCTTGCCTGCCAATTTCTAAGTTGTCTTAGGCTAGAAAATTGTTTCACTCTGTCTTTTTGTTGGCCCTGCCACTCCAGAAATTGTTTGCAGGTGTTACTTTAATGTTCTTTGGAGGAGAATTTGGGAGCTCAGGAGAGTCCCTGCCATTACTACACCATCTTGGCTCTGCTCTCAGAGAACATGTTATTAAGTTTTGTATCCCTCACAGAACCTAGTACACAGTACCAGGTGAATGCATGTCTGAAAAAGTACTGAATTCACCTCTAGTAAGCAGAGGAAGAAGCAGCTTTGTTTGGGTTTTTTTTCCCCACTATATCTGTTGTGAGACTCTACTCTAACCCAGTTAAATCACTCTGGGCAAACTGTTTCTTTGTTTCACTCAACCCAAGTTGGTTTATACTTGCAGCCTATTTGTGTGTTGGAAGCATGAAAAACTGCTACATTTTCGGGAAATAGCCCTGGAAAGGAAGCACTTTATAAAAAAAGCAAGATCACCCTTACCTGAAGGATCCTTTGAATGTTGCTCATAATCATACTTGTTTCCATGCTGACTGATAAGCTAGGAAGGAGCAGAGAGTTGCTAGCATTGTACTTCTGTAATTCTTCCACCTTAAAAGGGATTATCAGAAGAGACTTCATTAAGAAGGATACAAGCTAAAATGATCTTCTAAGACCTGACAATCTAGATATCTAATCACTTTTACATGGCAATGATTGAGCAAGCTCTAAGTAAATATGTCCTAGCCAAACAAGAAAGAGTTTAGGTACACCATTACCAAGAACAGTCCTACTTCTCTGCAGATGCTGGAATCAGTAACATCTCAGGCCAGGTGGCACCACTTCTCTCTTCCCCCATGTTTTCTCCTATGCCCTCTGCAGAGTGACTCACCTTGGCAACAAGATGGTCCATTTTATCGGCCACTTTGCTCACTGCCATTCGGACTTCAGTGTTATGCTGCCGAGCTTCAGTCATGAGAAAGGAAGCAATATCAGCTGAGCCTAAAAACAGATATATTCCACAAATGAAACAGTTTAAACAGAAGATTTGGAGATCCTTTTGGAAAAGCAGGAGTACAAAAGGAGCTGGGGAAAGAGCAATGATGTCATTATTACTAACTGAGAACTATGTCTGTGACGTGATAGCCACAGAAGAACACAAGTGCTGCCAACTTCAGACTTCCATGGCAAACTCCTTTAGAGGATAAAATTAAACTGTTTTCTCCTTTCCCTGCATCCTTCTGGAACCATGAGCTACAAAACCCTTATCAAAAGACTTTGTGGGACATCTTTTACAACATGACTAATGTGGAAATATGTTTAATATGATCACACACGTATAGCCTATATCAGATTGCTTGTGGTCTTGGGGGAGGGGAGAGGGGAGAGGAGGAGAGAGAAAAAAAAATTAGAACTCAAAATCTCATAAAAGTGAATGCTGAAAACTATTTTTACATGTAATTGGAAAAAAATAAAATACTATTAAGCGGGGGGAAAAAAGGGAAAAAAAGATTTTATGAAACATATATACAAGGACTACAACAATGGAAATCAAGACAACACTAAAAGTCAACCAAACTCTGACAAAAGACAATGAGTAATGTTAGTACTAAATCACTAAAGTTAAAAAACAAATTCTATTATGTTAATAATGGCTACATAAAAAAGTGGAAACTCGTATAACTGTTTGGGGGAATGCATTCTTGTGTGTGGGTTGAGTGTTTATTGAGCAAAATCCGTTGTACTAAAATAAAATGTATAAATTGAAAAACATCAGAATACAGATTCTGTGGGATCTTTTTGTTCATTGCTATTAGTCAGTCCTAAACATTTATTAAGCACCTACTATATGCCAGGCACTACACTAAGCTCTGGGGATGTAAATATCCAAAAGAAAAGACAGTCTCTGCACTAGAGATGCTTACAGTATAACAGGGGAAGACAACACACTAAAGGGAGTAGAGAGACGACAGAGAAGTCCAAAACAGTGAAGTTGGGGAAATGAAGAGATGGTTCGCCTGGGCTCCCTCCTTAAATGGAAGTTTCGGCATTTCTGGTTCAATTACCTAGGTGATGCACTAAATAGAGCGCTGGGCCTGAAGTCAGAAAGATCTGCGTTCAAGTCCAAACTCAAACACTTACTAGCTGTGTGACTAACCCCTGATTGCCTCAGTCCCTCATCTGTAAAGTGGGGACACACTGGAGAAGGAAATGGTCAACCACTTCAGTATCTTTGACAAGAATACTCCATGAACAAAGTCCACAGGGTCACACAGAGTTGGACCCAACTGAATAAACGAACAAAAAGAAGCTTTCAATTGAGAAAGCACTTGGTAAACAAAGCAAACGTCCATCAGTTGGAAAATGGCTTACAAGTGGTTGTATGTGAAAGGAAGATAGTATCAATGCATCTTAAGAACTCAGAAAAACTCACATGAACTAACACAGAGTAACACAGGCAGAAGCAAAAGAACAATTTACACAGCATGGTAATAACGTAAAAGAAAGCAACGACCAAAGACAGGAGAACTCTGTGCTCAGTGTAAAAACCAAAGCCCTTTCCAGAACTGACAGTGAAAGATCGTTTCCTCCTCAGCAGAGGAGTGGTAGACCATGCAAACAAGCGTGAGCATTTTCACAGTGTGCCAAGCGGTTCACGTGGCACACTGATCCTCACAACAATCATGTGAAGTAGGTGCTATTATCATCTCCATGTTATGGGTGAGGGAAACCGAGGCTGACAGAGATGAAATAACTTGTCCAAAGTCACAGCCTACAAACGTCTGAGAAAGGATCTGAACTCAGGTCTTTCTGACTGCAGGTCTGATGCTCTCTCCACTGCCCACCCAGCTGACCCTAGGCTCAGAAATGTGGCACACGTTGTTCAAGATGGCCAATGTATTCATTTTGTGGTTTATTTACACTTCTTTGTTCCAAAGAAGGGTTCCACAGGGTGTCGATGGGAAATAATAATAACATTTTTAAAAGGATCAATTAATTTTAAGTGATTGAACAGAAAGCCATCAACATTCAAATATTTTACTTGGCAATTTTGCTCCCAGTTTTATATATACATCACAGTAATTTTGGGAGTAGGGAGAAAAAGAGAGACAGAGAACAAATGAAGAGAGGCTGAAAAAATGTTGGGAATAAAGTAGTCACGGTCAAGGAAATGTAAATTTCTCTTTTCATATCCTGAGATTGAAAAGCAGAAACAAAGGAGCAGCTGGGTGGTGCAGTGGATAGAGCTCCAGCCTTGGAGTCAGGAGGATCTGAGTTCCAATCTGGCCTCAGACACATAACACTTATTAGCTATGTGACCCTAGACAAGTCACTTAACCCCAATGCCTAGCCAAAAAAAACAAAAAGAAGAAAAGAAAAGTAGAAACAACAACGAGTCAGAGAAGAAGAACAAGAAAAAAATCATGGAGTCTGGGGTTTTTTGACCTTACCTTGAAAATGAGGAGTCTGAGAAAGTGGTCCTGGATACATGGGTCCTACAGGTTGTAGCTGGGAAGTGATTGGGGTAGCATTCTGGTGATAGGTACAGGCCTGCATCCCTGCATAGGGCTAAGAAAACTCAGAGTTATATGTGCATTTTGAAAATAACTAATTGCCTCCTTTCAGTCTTGCTCACAATTATCTGACATCCTAATGGTGATGACAAGTACAGATAAAACATACACAACATAAATACAGTCCCAAAAGTCTTAGTGCAGTTCTAATCAATACTCTATAAAGTGAACAAGTGCAAATACATACAAAGTAGTTAAATACAAGCTAGTTTGGAAGGGATGGGGAGAATTAGGAAAAGCCTCATGCAGAAGATGGTTCTTGAGTAGCACCTTAAAGGGAAGAGAGGGCCTCTATGAGGTGGAAGTGGGGAAGGCATGCGTCCCAAGCATGAGAAACTGCCATCATGTAAAGCCACAGAGAAAGAGATAAAGTGTTGTGAATGAGGAACACAGAAAAGGGCAATCCACCTAAGGGCAGAGAACAGGAAATGAGTAATGAGGTTGGAAAGATAGGTTGGGGTCATGTTATGAAATGCTTTAAAAGCTAAACAGAGGAATTTATTTTTATCCGAAAGGATAATCTGAAGCCACTACAGGGGGATGAGTCGAGGACTCACAAGGTCAGATTTGTGTTTAAGGAAAACTATTTTGGCAAGAGAGTCTTTTTTCGATAGGAATGTGTTAACACTTGAGGCAAGGAGACCAAATAGGAGGATTCTGCAACAATCTAAACAAGGAATGATGAGGGCTTGAACTAAGGTGGTGGCTGTGAGAGTGGAGAGAATGGACGAGATAGCTGGACTGTGACATGAGGCCATTACTGCTGTGAGTCTGACATTTCAGAGCTGGATGAGAGCATCAACATTTGGAGCTTGATTAGAGCAGAAGCCGAGAGCATGTCTCCTTTGCTGAGTAGTTCTAAATAGGAAAATTGTAATCCTGCTAAGAAAGAGAGAGAGATTCTTCAATATCTTCCTAGCTCTCTTATAATATGTTTTAATTAACTTTTAAAAAATGATTAAGTTGTGTCTGTAAGTGTATTTGGGTAAAGGCAGAATTATTGACTAAGATCCCAAATGAAATCTGTCAGTTTGCAAAGTGGCAGATCTGCCTTTCCACACTGGCTCCTCTTCATATCAAGAGGCTGATGCAGAATCTCCATCAGATACAGAGCATCCCAGTAAACATAGAATGGTTGGTTTCAGGTTACTACCCCTTTTCCTTTTCTAAGCTACTCCACTGCCTACCCCCAAGTCAGGCAATGTCACAAGAAGCTGATGACAGCCCCCTAAGTTGTTGGGCATTCTTAACTCTGCAAGAGGGATGAGGATGATAGTTCCCAGAAATCTCTCTTGAAGAGGCCCCTTTTCAAAAGGTACCTCAGAAGCACAGAGCATGCCAAGTGGACCTTGTATGCTAAGCCAGCCTAATTTGCCATCATTCTGCCAGTCTACACTGGGGGCCTTTGCTGTTTGCTGGGCAAGAAAAAAATCCAAGAGCACTGACACATAGTCCTCAACTGGAAACAAATTCAACCACCTACCTTTTGGTTAAGAAAGTATTACAGAGTGATCAACAAAGGCAAAGACAGATTTAACCAGAACATAATTAAAATTATCAAAAAATTCCTAATGCATCTTTATCAATGTTAATACCTGAAAGGACTGGGAATTTCCAGGCAGATTGGAGTGAGACTGGATAGCTGCAACTGGCATTAAGGCAGCAGAGGGCACTTGGATCCCAGGGACTGATTGCTGAGATGCTAAAATAAAACAAGATTTTAATTTTTTTTTAAATTTCATTTATTTTGATTTATCAATAATCACTTCCATATGCTTTTGAGTTGAAAATTTTTCTCCCCCTTCCTCCCCCTGATAGCGCATAATCTGATATAGGCTTTACATTTACATACCCATTAAACATATTTTCACATTAGTGAAGCTGTTAAGTAAAAATTAAAATCAATAGGAGGAACCGTCAGAAAGATGAAACAAAACTCAACAGAAGGTAAAAATAAGTGATAGTGATTCAACTTCCACAGTTCTTTCTTTGGATGTGGACAGCATTTTCCATCCTGAGGCCTCTGGAGATGTCTTAGATCCTCGTAATGCTGACAAGGGTTCAGTTTAACAATCTTAGTCATTGCATAACGTGGCTGTTATTGTGTACAAAGTCCTCTTGGTTCTGCTCACTTCACTCAGCATCAGACCATATACGTCTTTCCAGGTTTTTCTGAAGTCAGCCTGCTCATCATTTCTTATAGCACAATAGTATTCCATTAAATTCATATACCACAACTTGCTCAGTCATTCCCCAATTGATGGGCACAAGATTTTAATTTTTATCCATCTCTTTGGTGCATAGGTGGATACTGAAGTTTGACCGGCAGCCTGTGTACTATCATAAAACTGTTTATATGCCCATCCTCTCAAACCCTGCAGTTCTGCTGCAAGTCCCTACAATTGGATAGGACAACAAAGTTGGGTGTTGTTATATGCAAGACACTCAGCCCTAAGATAGTGTCAACTATCTGGGAGATAATTCAGCTAAGTGGAGGTTTCTAGCACTGTGGAAGTTATGTAACTTATTAAGTTGTGAAAAGGAAGTGAACGGAGCCACTGAGTTTCCTTTTTAAGCCATTCTCAAGGAATAAAACTGACATGACTACAAAAGTTTTATTGATCCAATTCACACACTCCAAAGGTACACAGATCTCTTACTTGGTGATGTCCTTGGCTTCGGTGGTACAAGGGCTGGTTCAGGAGAGGGATGGATGGATGCAGTCATCATGTGCTGACCTGTTCCTCGCAGGGCATTCAGGTCCTAAAGGAGGCACATAAGGCTTAGTTATTCAGGAGGGAGGAGGGGACAAAAAAATATTCACACTGCATGGGATCCTCCTACAAGTAGAATCACACCCTCTCCTACACAAGGTGTCCCAAAACTCTTAGTGTTATTTTAAGCTTTCTTAAAAGCAAGTCCTGTAGACAGATAACAGAAAGGAAGGCTAGCCAAAAAGAAGTCTATGGGAGTTAAGCTCATGGGATGTAAAGCACTTATCAGGACAGTTGAGAACTTCCACATGCTGACCACATCTAATTCTCAGTAAACCCAAGCAAAATTTTAAAGATTACAAATTGCTGGGGACAGCTAGGTGGCGCAGTAGATAGAGCACTGGCCCTGGATTCATGAGAACATGAGTTCAAATCCAGCCTCAGACACATAACACTTACTAGCTGTGTGACCCTGGGCAAGTCACTTAACCCCATTGCCTAGCCAAAAAGGAAAAAGATTACAAATTGCTGATCTTCATTCACACTAATTATTTGTTTTTGCTGTATCTAATTAGGATAACCTTGTCCAAATCAGCAGGTAGCCATCTATGTCGACCGAAATAGTTTGTTCCTACAGAATAAGGGTAAGCAATTATGTAGCACTGCTCCCCTTCCCCCCAAAGCATCCTCGGGTACTCGGTGAATATTAGAGAATGACCATATTTCATCATGACTCTTTAGGATGATAGTTATGTTTTTCCTTTAATAAGAGCTAGGCTGATCTCTAACAACTGCATTGGGAGCAGTAGTTGTGATCTTATCTTATAAGATCAATAATCAATAATATCTTATTACACCTCTATTGGTGACAGACCCACTTGGGACAGTGGTTTGATGGAAAAAGATGTGGAAAAGGGAAATGTTTATTAAACAGCTTTAAGATGACACATTTTAGCATGGAGCTGAGAGGCAGAGCTGACATGCCAGATTATAAGAATCAGGGTCCAAAATGTTGATAGGTTTGAACAATAGATGAAATCTGATAAGATGAAATTTAATAAGATTAAGTGTAAAGTCCTATCCACGAATTCAAAGAGTGGAATGCACAGGTACATGACTAGGAGGGACTAAGACAAACAACATATCTAGGGACTAGAAACTCAGTGTGATTCAACAGAGTGACCTGGAAAGCCAATGTAAACTAAGACCACATGAGGATAAGAATATTGTATATCTCAAAGGAAGCAACAGTGCTGTCATGCTAGAGCTGACGTAGGCAGATCACATCTTGAGCATTTTGTTTGGATCTGTGTGCCATGTTCTACAAAGGACAGTGAAAAACTGGAGTGTGTCCAGGGGAGGGTAACCATGACGGTAAAGGGACTGAAGACCTACATTATGATGGCCAGATGGAAGAGGGATGTTTAGCCTAGAGAAGAGAACATGGGAAACATGATGGCTATCTAAGTATTTGAAAGGCTTTACATTTTAAAAGAGAGATTAACCTGGTTCTGCTTAGCTCCAGCAAAAAGAACAAGGAGGAATGGATGTAGGGAAGTAGATTTCAGCTCCATGTAAGGAATAATCTCCTAAAAATCAGAGCTATCCAAAAGTAGAATGAGATAGAGAAGTAGGTTCACTATCACCAGAGGGTCTTCGAGTAGACGATACTGTTGGCTGTTGTTCATTGTTCTCGAAGAGGACCCAAATGACATCACTACATTGGAGTCAAGTTACAGTGTGTCCAACTGTGGCGGTCAGACCAATATAAGCTCGGAATGTTCTACCACAGGTCAACAAGCATTTCTCAAGTGCTTACCATGTGCCAGGAAGTATGCCAAACATTAGAGATACAAAGAAATGGAAAAAAACAAACAACAACAGTCCTTGATCTTAAAGAGCCAACATTCTAATGAAGAAAACAACATGTAAATAATTAGGTTTATATAAAATACATAGAACAGATAGAAGATAATCTCAGAGGGAAGGTACTACCTGCTGGGGGTAGACCCAGGAAATGCTTGCAGAAAGTGGGACTCAAGATAGCTTTTTTTTTTAAAACATAATTGTTTTCTTGAGAGGATGCCCATCAACTGGGGAATGGCTGAGCAAGTTGTGGTATATGAATGTAATGGAATACTATTGTGCTATAAGAAATGATGAGCAGGCTGACTTCAGAAAAACCTGGAAAGATGTATGTGGTCTGATGCTGAGTGAAGTGAGCAGAACCAAGAGGACTTTGTACACAATAACAGCCACGTTATGCAATGACTAAGAATGTTAAACTGAACCCTTGTCAGCATTACGAGGATCTAAGACATCTCCAGAGGCCTCGGGATGGAAAATGCTGTCCACATCCAAAGAAAGAACTGTGGAAGTTGAATCACTATCACTTATTTTTACCTTCTGTTGAGTTTTGTTTCATCTTTCTGATGGTTCCTCCTGTTGGTTTTAATTTTTACTTACAACTTCACTAATGTGAAAATATGTTTAATGGGTATGTAAATGTAAAGCCTACATCAGCTTGTGTGCCATTTTGGGGAGGGTGGGGGGGAGAAAAAGGGAGAAAAATTTCCAACTCAAAAAAGTATGGAAAAAAAATTTTTTTAAATAAAAATATTTAAAAAAATAAAAAAAACATAATTGTTTTCAATTACAAACTTAAAATTTAAAAAAGACTATTTCCATATATACAACAATACACAAAAAGGGGATTCTATGTGAAACCATGAATTTCTATTCTATACTGTTCGCTTTTTTAAAAAGTATATAATAAATTCTAAATGTTACTTTCAAAACTCTCTGTGTTGCCTTCTAATTTCCTTCTGTTATTTGTGTGACCTAAGCAATTCACTTAACTTCCACTTATCTCAGTTTTCTTAACCGTAAAATGACAATAATAATAGGGTGGTTGTGGGGATCAAAAAACATGTTTGTACCTGGCACGCAGTAGACACTATATAAAAATATTTATTTCCTTTCTCTCCTCTTCTGCGTATCTTAAAAAATATTTAAAGACTTTTTTGACATCACTACTGCTAGCTTCCCTTTTTCCCTACCCCAATCAATCAAAAACCAAAAGAAATAAAAAAACCCTTGTAGCAAATGAGCATAATTAAGCAAAACAAATCCACAAAATGGCCACGACCAAAATGTGTTTCTTTATTTACCTTGAATCCATCACTTCTCTGTCAGGAGTGGAATAACATGCTTCATTGCAACATGACTATTTATTGCTCTTGAGTCTTTTATCAAAACTGCTGGAAAGTCCTCTATTCAAGTAAGGTCCATCTCCACACCCAACCCCTCTTCCCCCTGATTATTTCCAGTTTTGCAAGGTAAGTTATTCTCAGTTATAAGACTATCTCTTTTGCCTTCTGGAATCTTGTATTCCAAGATTTCTTGTTTAGAATAAAAGCTGCTATATAATCTTGATGTTTATAATATTTTTTCTTTGATGTGGGAGCTCACAATTCTGGCTATGGAGTTAATGGGACTTTTCCTTTTAGGGCTCCTTTAAGTAAGTGATTGAAGGGATCTTTCTATCTTCACTTTGCCCTCTAGTTCTAATAGATCTGGGCACTTTTAAATTTGTGATTTCCTGAAATATAATGTCCAAGCTTTTTGTCCCATAGTTATTACAGAGTCCCAAAATTCTTAATTTATCAATCTTTGACTTGTTTTTTGAGATCAGATCACAGAATGGATATTCCACAAGAACTATGTGAAATCTCTGGTGCCTTTTGAAATTATTCCAGCCCCACCCAAGTACTCTCACTGGCCTGCCACAGCCCAAAGGATGTCATATAACTGCTAAAATGGTCTTCTCTACCCAGCTGGAGGAGCTGGGATTATTTTAGTTAGAACAGCTCTTCCAAGTAGTAAAAGAACAATGGAAATGAATTCCATTTACAATGGTTCTCAAGGCTCCCCTCTTTGATTCAGTCTAACACACTTATTGAAGCTCTTACCAAGTGCAAAAGAGGCCCTGTATCAGGTACTGGAATTAAACAGTGTGGTACAGTGGGACCCAATCCAAGGACCTGGGTTCAAATTTCACCTTTGAAGCTTACAACTTATACCACCTTAGACAAACCATTTTCACCTACCTGGGTCTTGGTTTCCTCATTTATAAAATAAGAGGATTTGACTAGGTGGTTTCTGAGGTCCTTCTAATTCTAGATCTATGGTCCTATGGCTCATGCCTGCCCTCTCAAGGAGTTTATGCTCTCTTGTACCCAAGGAGGAAACATGAAACATAAAATAAGATGGAGCAAAAGGAAAAGTAACATGAGAACCCTAGGGAAATCTGAGGCAGGCTTTTGAGAAGCATAGGTAACGGGCTGGGAGAAGCTTCACAGACAAGGTGGCACTGAAGCTGACCCTTAAAGGACAGAAGAGCTGGAGGGCAGGGATTAGGAAGGTATTCACGACCTACAAGAAAGCTTGGTGGGCAGAGATGGCAAGTTGAGGTCAGATAAAGGAGTACAGTCTGAATAGAATGTAGAGTGCATGAAGGAATATAGAGTGCATGATAGAAAAGTTGGTGAAAGTCAGATTGTAGAGACTTCCACTGCTAGTTTTTTTATTTTTTATTTTTTTTTTTCAGATATAACCATTTATTTAACAATTAGGCCAAATAAATTCCATAGATATTAATGTTAAAGCAAAAGGCATAATCACAATACACATGTCACGCTCTCTTAATACACACCATAACCTGCTATTAAATGTGCATGAAGAAACAATTTTCAAATGTCCACACATTCAGATGGCCAGTTTTGAGACTGAAAATGACCTGTGCATAATTTTTTAATGCTACAGCACCTCACCTGAGAGGTGGTGAAAACTAGATACACATTAGAGGAATTTCAGAGAAGCAGATAGACATGGGAGTCAAACACATGGGCTTAAGAGTAAAGCACAACTTTGGATTGCAGTTTACCCTCATCACTCCTCATCTTCTCCATATGAAGATAGCATTTTTATAAGCCCTTTCAATTATCCCCTCATCCTTTAAAGGGAGTTTAGGAAACCTCAGGTTTTAATAGTATTAATCCTTCTGTTTATACCAGGAGGACTGCAAAATTTAATCAAACTATCTCCAGCCAATTATTCACTCAAACGATTGCTGCCTCATCCAGTCAGAACAGACTTCCCAGCCACCAAGTTGAGGTTGACCCGGCTAACAAGTTGTGGAAGCCTTTCTTTACCTGCTCAAGCAAGAAGAGGCAGCCCGAGTATACCTGCTGCCAAGGCAGAGTGCAGCAAATGAAGAAAAGAAGACCACAGGCTGATGTGCCCCCACAGCAGCAGAAAACACTAAGCAAAGCAGTAGCCAACTCTCTTTGGTCATGGATAGTCCAAGCTTTCTTTCAGGAATACCCTCAGCTACAGTTATGTACCCATACACCAAAAGCAAAGAAGGCTCAATAGGAGTACTAGCCCCCCCCCCAAGTGGCCACAGCAGCCCCTCCAGCAAGTTCTCTCAAGGTAGTTTCCCTGATAAAAGCTAAAAAATAGATTGAATCAAAACATTTAATTGTCGGGAGGGAGATAATTTATAAACCAAAGTTTTAAAAACACATGTTAAAAAAAATAAAAAATAAGAATTTTTTAAAAGAAAAAACATAACTGTCCAAGATGATTGCTATTCACTCATTTTTTCCTTAAGTGTCAGCTGAAGCATACCTCCATACCTCCCATTTTAAAATGTGTTTCTTGTATAAACGTGGTCAGGTTATTTTTTGGCCCATTCTACTATCCATTCACATATTTTATATATAAAACATACATAATATATATATAATAAAATACATATATAATATATGTTCCATACATTCCAGGGCTTCAAAGAAGTTCAGGGGAAAAGCAGGTATCCTCAAGGGGCCAGACCTACCCCCACCCCCAAGGTCTTCAGTGCTGTTGACCCCAGCTCAGCACCAGGTACTACTAGACCCCTGTAGCCTCCAGCTACCAGCACTGCTAGTTTTTTTAAAAGTGTTTTTTAAACTTTTTTAAAAAAGTGTTTTTATCCTACAAGCATTTGAGAACACTGAAAGTTTTTGAACAGTGAAGAGATATGGTAAAAATCTTTACATTAAGGAAGATTATTTGACTGCTCTGTGAATGATGGACTGAAGAAAGAAAGACCAGAGGCAGGAAGGCCACTTGAGAAGTCTGGGAGCTTTAACCCTACTTGCAGACTAATGGGGAAGAAATCAATTAGAGCCTTGAAATGAAGCCATTAAAAACAACTAAAACCAAACAAGACAAACCAAAAAAATCCAAACCAACTCTTTTTAGCAGGATCCTAATTATCCGATGAGCAATGTTTATTTTTCTAAGAAGCAGTCCCTCTTATACCTTTCTTCCTCAGCAGCAAGCATTACATTCTTTCTCTATAACTTACTGAACTCTAGTAATATAAGAATTTGTTAGAGAAGAGTGGAAGTAACTGTATTTCCCAAAGTGGAGAATCCATCATCTTCAGTGATACTGCAGAAAGCTAAATGAGGGTTTAATTCACTCCTTAAACTGCTTGGCTAATAAGACAGTTGCAGTCTTCTGTATATTCATCAGTAAAAATGCTGACCAAATCTGAAAGAGATGCTTAAGAGTGCTGTGCAAGATTTTGCCAATGAGGTCCCCTAAGCAAAAAGCCTTCACCGGGGCCAGACACAACAGCAACTCATGCTCCATTTAGCTTTGGTTTCCTATGGTCTTAAGCCCTTAGATGTCTACTACTGCCCTCAAGTACAGAAGAGCTAAGAGAACTTACCTCCATCTCGGAATCACTGGAGTCTAGGTGAGGAGGAACAATGGGTAACATGGGCTGTCCCATTTTAGCCATCCTAGAGATAAGCTTAGCTTTGGTCACATCAGGATTCTACAGAGAGAGAAGAAAAGGCATAAAATTAATTGTTTTTATGTGATTTGCCATTATTTTCTCATGCTGATTATAACTCAGTGCTCCCTTATTCTCTTTCAGGCTGCACAATTTCTCCACCGTCTATTTTAAAGAATGTAAACAGATTAGATCATTGGTTTCTAGACTCAAGATCCCTAGGTCTGAATTCCTAACTTAGAAGTTATCAAAACCAGGGTGGTTCACCATCTGGAGCAGGGAATGGATGAAACCAAACCCACTGCACACCCAAGTAGGAGTTAAGGCATTCAGAAATCATCAATCTGAATGAGATCATCAAGAGAGGCTACAATGGGAAGCTGGTCTGAAGTGGGAGTGATCAAGATCTAGGAAGGCAGCTGTGATGAACAGAAATAGGTAGGACCTAACTCTACTACTTGTTTTGGAAACCTAAGATTATGTTTCATTTTCCCCTTGAATGTCCTACCTGGAAACAATAATATTATTTGGCTTATGATAATATTTTAAAATCCATATCTGATCCTTATCAGGTTAGCGTTGTTACCTTCCTGAGCTTAGCCCTTTAAAGAAAGGTTAGAGAAGAAATTCACACAAATTCAACTACTGCTGTCCTTTAATCTTATGCTAGGTGATCAAATTGGAAATCAACAGAAACTCACAGAATTTGAAAGTGGGGAAGTGACCTTAGGCACTTTTTATTTCAATTTAGTCACTTGACAGATTAGAAAATGGAGGCCCAGAGAAGGGAAGTGACTTTACTTAAGAGATCTTCAAGAAATGGAAATGGAAGGGGATGGGTGAGGATGTGATGATGAGGGTTGGTCTGGAACATAAGACAAGGAAGGGGGCCCAATGTTGGCCAAACTATGAGATTGCTATATTCCACCTCCATCATCTACAACTTTTTTACCATTTCCCTTTAAACTGCCCCTCTTTAAATTGTAAAAAATTTAAATATAAATTTAAATTGTGTAAAGTGCTTTTGAAAACCTTAAAGGCTACAAATGTTGGCTATTATTATTCGCAGCTTCCCAGCTGCTTCTATGGGAAAGGGGGAAATCTTTACTCTAAACTGAGCTGTCCTTTTGGAAAACTAAAACTTCTTTTAAAAACTGGCAGACAATTTTTTAAAATGGAAAATTTTTAGAATTTTTAAAAAGAAAGTAGAGCTTAGAGGAAAAGAAAGAAGAAAAAGAGAAAAGGAACAAATGCAAATACTTGTAAGAATAATAAGAATCTCATTTATAAGCAATTATTCTTTTTCTTAATTGAAGCATAAAACAATTATATCCAACGAGATACAAATGCAATCAAAATGGCTTTCACTATAAACACATATATTTGATCTACCTAACCCCAACTAACCTATCCTCAAAGACACATTCTTTTATTACCCTAAGATTCCCTTTTAACATCACATTGAAAATAATTTCATGTTCAAAACGCCCTTATGTATTTTCCCCTCTCTAAAATTTTTTCCTTATACTTTTTTTAAGTCATATTAAAGCGTTCTTCATTTTTATAAACATTGCTACAACTTTCCAAAAACATCTAGAACCCTTCCCCCCCATACAATTCTCATATAATTAAGCAAGACAAATCAACATTTGGCCATCACAATTTCAGCCTCTAAGTTCAACTATGTGAAATATATGTTATATTACATACATACATACATACAAATAAAATGAATAGATTTCAATGGGCCTGCCTCAGAGCACTTAACATAACTTACCGCAAGTTGCTCACTGATGGAGTTTGACTTGGTTCGAACAGCTGGCTCTCTGAAAGGAAAAAACACATAATCTGAGATAGATAAGATGACTAAGAAACACAAGTTCAAGTTACACTTGGCTTCTCAACCATTTTAACAGATAAAAGTCAGGTAAAAGAATTCTTATTCCTTAAAGTCTCTGAGGGCAACAAGTCAAGAAGATGAAATTTTCTGCTATTAGAGCTACAAATCCTATTTTTAAAAAATGTATATATTAATGCCTTTTATTTTTATATCACCTTCATTTTTCTGTATCTCTCTCTCCCCTTCCCCACCCAAAGAATTATCCATTATAACAAAGAATAAAAAAGAGGAAAGAAATCAGTTCAGCAAAAATAGCAAACACAAGAACAGAGCCTGACAGCATCCGCAGGGCTCCACACTCATTGTCCCCCAACACAGCAAAGAGGGGAAGGAGGTGCATTTTCATCCCTCAGCTTCAGGGTCAATATAAGTGGGCATTATAATTACTCAGTGTTCAGTTCTGATTTTCCTTTGTTCTTTCTATTTACTTTACTGAAGTCACTTTCATATAGTATTTTCCTGGTTCCTGCTTACTTATATAACTCGGCTTCAATTTATGTAAGTTTTCCCATGAGCTTCTGAATTCTCCACATTCATTATACCACAATTTGCTTAGCTATTCTTCAATTGATGGGTATCTACTTTGTTGCTAGTTCTTTGCCACTCCAGAAAGTTCTGCTATAAACATTTTGACATATATGGACTTTTCTTTCTATCTTTGACCTTTACCTCTGGGTCAAAAGGTACAAATATTTCATTCAATTTCTTTAGCATAATTACTTTCCAAAATTGTTGAACCAATTCATAGCTTCACCAGTGTATTATTGTGCCTGTCCTTCCATGATCTCAAGATTGACTATTCCCATCTTTTGACATCCTTGAAAATGTACTGGGTATAAGATAAAACTTCAAATTATTCGGATTTGTATCCCTCCTATTATTAGTGATTTGAAGCAATGTTTCATTTGATTCTTTATAGTTGGCAACTGTTTACCAAACCACCAAGGGAATATTAGACAAAATAATAACAAAATTCACTTGGAGGAACAAAGGTCTAGGATCTCAAGGAAAATAATGTTTAGAAGTAGGAATTAAGGGGAACTAGCACTTTAAGACCTCAAATTATACTTAAAGCAGGAATCAACTAAAACTGGTACTGGTTAAAAAACTGAACAGCTGATGAGTGGAACAGACTGATTACGGAAGAAAACAAATGAACTCAATAACCCAGTGTTTGACAAAACACAAAAATATTCTTACTTGGGAAAGAACTCCCTATTTAATGTTGTTTCATCATTTCAATCATTTCTGACTCTTCATGACCCCTTTTCTGGAGGTTTTCTTGGAAAAGATAATGGAGTGGTTTGCCATTTCCTTCTCCAACTCATTTTACAAATGAGGAAGTCGAGGCAAACAGGGTTAAGTGGTTTGCCCAGGATCACACAGCTACTAAGTGTTTGAGACTAGATTTGAACTCAGGTCTTCCAGACCCCAGGCTTGACACTCTATCTACTGTTCCACCTAATTGCCCTCCCCCTATTTAATAGGGAGAGATAAAATGTAAAGAAGTCTGGAAGAAATTATGCTTAGACCAACACCCTACACCACATTCCACAATACATCCAACAGATAGATGACCTTAATAGTACTGATTATACAACAAAAATATTAAAAGAGAAACAGATCATATACTCCCAGCTATGGACGGAGATGTATTTTTTTGTTTTGTTTTTGTGTTTTTTAGGAGATGTATTTTTAACCAATCAAAGAATAGATGCAATTACAAAAGATAGCTGATTACATGAAATGGAAAAGCTTCTTTATAGACACAATTAACGCATCTAGGATAACAAAGGAAGAGAAAAATCTTTGTATCAAATTTCTCTGATAAGGAGTTAGTATCCAAAATATGTAAACAACAAATATACAGAAGACTAACAGCTAATTCCCCAATAGATAATTCTGAAAAGAATTACAAAGTATTAAGAAGAAATGCAAATCAAAACAACCATGAAGTTTTACCTCACACTCTACAAATTGGCAAAGATTAAAAAAAACCCAATAGTCAAAGTTAGACAAGTTTTGAAATGATAGGCACACTAATACATTATTAGTGGAGCTGTGAAATGGTATAGCCATCCTGGAAAGCAATTAGGAATTACGCAAATAAAAGTAACTAAAACGTCCATACCCTTTAATTAGAGCTTCCATCACTGGACTTAAACTCTGAGGAAGCCACTAATAAGAAGAAAAGTACCCATATACACCAAAATATTTGTAGCAGAACCTTTTGTGATAGCAAAGAATTGGAAACTAAGTAGATACCCATCAAATGGAGAATGGCTAAACCAATTGTGATTCATGAATGTAATGCAATATAACTGTGCTATAAGAAATTATGAATATGTATATTACAGAAAAGCTACATGAACTAATGCAGAGTGAAGTAAGTAAAGCCAAGAAAACAATATTCACAATGACAACAACATAAATGGAAAGAACAACTACACACAAAAAACCGAAAGTGAATATAGCAAAATTATAGAGATCAAGCATGACTTGAAAGAAGACCTATGAGAAGACACCTCCAACCCACCCATTCATGAAGTAGGAGGCCCATGGATGTTGTATGTTGGTCATGTTTTTAAACTTTGTCTATGCACTAATTAGTTGTGCTGATTTTTTTCTCTTCTTTCTCTTTTTTTTCTTTAAAAAATATCGTTTTTTATATGGGATGGCTCTCTGGGAAAGGTTGGGAGAGGGATATTAGAGAAAACTAAGGATGTAAAAAACAAAAGACATCAACAAAATCTTTTTAATAAAGAAAAAATACTTTTGGGACACTATGCGCATATACACACATCTATACATGTACGTATACATACACATACATAGAACTAATATTAACATATAAGACCAAGATCCACTCATTAATGAATAAGTGGTCAAAAGATACAAACAGCTGTCAAAAAAAGAGTGACAAACTATTATCAACCATAGGAAAGATGGCTCCAAATCACTTCAAAAAGAGAAATGCACATCTATACAACTGTGAGGTTTCACCAAGTTGGCAAACAGGATAAAAGATAAAGAGAGCTGAAGGGTTTGTGGAGAGAAATACACACTAATAAACTGTTTGTAGAAATATAGATTGGTCTAACTATTTTGAAAAGAAATTTGGAATTATGCTACAGAAAGTGACTAAAATATCCATACTTCCACAAATCCTATTAATATTACCCATGGCAGTATTCCACAGTGTGTGTGTGAGAGTGTACACCAAGATGCCTCTCTAAACCTGGTAGGTAATTTCCTCCTAGATTCACTTTTTTGATATTGAAAGAGCTGATTAAGGCTTCAGTTTCTTACCCAGGTTTAAAAGGCACTGCAGTGGGTGGCAGTAATACTGGTTCAGCACTAAAGTTATCAGCACCAGGTGTTGGAGAAGGAGTTGCAGAATCATGGGAATTAATGCTGTGCCCATCAGAGCCAGAATCTTTGGCAAATTTCACCTAAAGAAAGAATAATCAGTACAGAATAGAACAATTGTCTTGGCTGAACAGACCACTGGTCTTGAGGAAATCAAAGTGGTTTATTATATACCGTCAGCCATAACTTGCTTAAATTTAATGGTAAAGAAAGGAGATAAAAAGCAGTTGGACTGGTTGACTTCAAATGTCTTCCCTAGCTCTCATGTTCTGGGATTCTGTGATGTGCAAGTGGCAGTCTTCCAGAGGAACAGGGCAGGAACAGTAGACAGAAGTGTCTTCTGGGGTTAGACTGTCCCAGGGGAGAGAAAAATCTTTTTTTTTTTTTTAGAGTTGGGGGGAATGGGGGAGGAGGAGAGAGAACAATATTTCAGAGTAGGGGAAAATGCCTCTGGAAAAACAAAATATTTCTACAAAGATGAGAATTTAACTTTTTGGAGTCCATTTTTCAAATTTAGGGTTTCATTTTGTCTTGGAGGGTGGGAGTAGGGAGAGTCAGCTGAATTTATCGTGTTTAATGTGAATTTGTTAACCAACCTCAACTAGGCTCCAGCTGATCCTTTAATTCCTCCCTAATTGATTCCCATACTCCCTACAGACACTATTCTTCACTCTCCTCTCTCAGGCCCCTCATTCCTTCCCCTTTCCCCTCTCTCTGTTAAGGACTGCAATTGCCTCTTACTTACCTTTTAAAAAAGTTAAGGCTCCCTTTCCCCTATTCTCTTCATCTCCAAATTCCTGACATCATCTCTCACTCTCTCCTCCTTTCCCCAAGTCCCTGACAAAGAGGGGATCCTTCTTGCTAAGGCCAAGCCTTCTACATGGACACTTGATCCTCCTACCTCTGTCTTCTTTGACAGCCTGCAACCCTCAATCATACTCTTCTTTCTCTAGTCTTCAACTTCTCCCTACTGAAATCTCCCTTTTCTCCTGCCTTCAAACGTGTCCACATGTTCCCCATTCTTTAAAAATATGCATTAGATTCTACCCTCCTCTCAAGCCATCAGCCCTTATTTCCTGTCCCTTTTCCTGGAAAACTCCTATTTTTTTTATCCTCACTAGGACCTTCTGGTTTTCCACCCTTTGGTTACTTTCCTGATTATCACTCCTTCACTCCAGGCACTATTCTCCCTTTCAAAGCTGGACGCTCTGGCTCTGGTGGATCAGTTCAGCTAGACACCAGTGGTGTCCAACTCAACTGGGAATGGGTGCCTGTGGGCCTCATAGTGAAAATTACAAATTAACATTATCTATATTGCATTGCATTTTTATCGATTTTGCTAAACAATTCCTAATTACATTTTAAGGGGAGGAGCAGCTGCTCTCCATTACCAACCCTGGCCTCTGGTCCTCTTGTCACCTGCCACCTTCACTCCTATGCACACACTGCTTGATGACAGCTGGCTAGGCCCAATACTAACATATGTTACAAAGCTTCAACTGCCCCCTTCCTGTGGCAAAGGTGATCATTTCACACAATCCTCATCAATCTGCTCTCTCACTCACTACAAGGGCTTTTCCAAACCTTTTCATCCCACCTCAAACCTCCCATAGTGTCTCTTTATACTTTACTGAGAAAACTGAGGCCATTTCATGAGCTTCTTCTTCTCTCCCCTTTTCATACTACCCAGATGTCTTCTCCTCTACCTCTGCCTCCACCCTTCTCTCATGAAGGGTGACTCTTCTCCTTGACAAAGAAAATTCCTCTCCATGCATTCTTTATCCCATTTCTTCACATCCTCTGTGGATTTCTCCTTCTATCAACCCCAAATTCCTCTCTATTCAATCTCTCCCTCTCTATTGGCTCTTTCCCTGCTGCCTACAAACATGCTCATGTTGTTTTCATCCTTGGAAAACCTTCAATTGACCTAACTCTCTCTCTTACACCTCTCCCTTTCTGCCTAAACTGCTAGATGAGCTGGGGCAGTTAGGTGGTGCAGTGGTTAGAGCACCAGCCCTGAATTCAGGAGGACCTGAGTTCAAATGTGGCCTCAGACACATAACACTCACTAGATGCATGACTCTGGGCAAGTCCCTTAACCCCATTGCCTAGCAAAAACAACAACAACAACAAAACAAAAAAAAATGCTAGATAAGGCCATACACAACTGGCATCTACACTTCCTCTCCTGATGCCGGATTTTAAACCCTCTGTAACCTGGCTTCCAATCTCATCACCTGACTGAGCCTTCTTTCTTCAAAGTCACCAATGATTTCTTTCTTTTTCGCTTAGACAATGGGGTTAGTTAGCGTTAAGTGTCTAAGACCGGATTTGAACTCACGTCCTCCTGACTCCAGGGCCAGTATTCTATCCACTGTGCTACCTAGCTGCCCCACACCAATGATTTCTTAATCTTCAAATCTAATGTTTTTCCCCCCTCCTCCTTCTTGAGCTCTTCAACCTCTGACACTGGCCATCACTCTCTTTTCCTGGATATTCTCTCCCCTCTACATTTTCATGACATTGCTCTCTCTTGGTTTGACTACTTGCTCTCAGTCTCTTTTGCTGGTTCATCTAGGTTATATTCACTATTCTGGGTTTAATCTATGCAGATGATTCGCAGAAATATATAGACAGATATAGCTATAGATATAACTACATATTTATTTAGATACAATCATATATATAAAAATTAGAGGTGGAGATAAAGATATATCTCTACTTCCATCCCTACCTTCTCTCCTGAGTTGCAGTCTCCCATCACCAACTACCTCTTGTACATTTCCAACTGGTTGTCCTGTAGGCATTCTCAAACTCAATTTGTCCAAAAATGAACTCATTATCTTTCCCCACCAAATCTCTCTTCTTCAGAACTTCCCAACTGCTGTTGAAAGGACTAACATCTCTCAGATAACCCAGGCTTGCATCTTCAGTGTTGTCCCTGACTCCTCCTTAGGCTGACTCTACATATCCAACCTGTTGCCAAGACTTGTCATTTTTACCTTCGTTACCTCTCCCTTATGTCACCTTTTCTCCACTCATATGGCAACCATCCTAGTTCAGGCTTTCACCACCTCATGCGCATTTAATATCCTTCAAAACCTTTCTGCTTTCTAGCGTTCTTACACTTTATTCCTCTCTACACATTTACAATCTGGCAGACCCTGCCCTTTGCAGCCAGCTCTTCATGCCTGACGCTCCAGCTCCTGACTCTGCCTTTTCTCTGGTTGTCCTCCAGGTCTGGAACGCTCTCCTTCCTCACTCCTGCCTTGCGGGTTCCCTGGCTTCTCTCTAGACTCTGCCTGAGTCCCACATTCTGTAAGAGCCTTTTGTCCCCACTGCCAGTACCTTCGTTCTGAGATTATCTCCCAGCTATTCTGAATATACAGTTGTCTGCATCTTTTTTCCTCCTTTACAAGTTGGGCTCCTTGAAGACATGGATCATGTCTTTGCCTTTATTTGTAACCTTAGTACTTAACACAATTCCTGAAAAATAGTGAGTGCTTAATAAATACTTGTTGACTGATACTTGCTGCTTCCTCTAATGTTACTACTTCTCAATTCTTTGCAATCTGGCTTCCAACTTCATCAATGAATTGAAACTGCTCTCTCCAAAATTTCCAATGATCTTCTAATTGACAAATTTGATGGTCTTTTCTCAGCTCTCACAATTCTCAACCTGCCTGCTGCATTTAACACTGCTGGCAACCTTCTCCTCTCAGGGTTTTGAGGCACTCCTCTCTTGACTCTCCTTCTGTCTGACTGTTCTTTTTCATTCTCCTTTGCTGGCTCATTATCCACATCACATGCCAAACTGTGGGTGTTCCCCAAAGCTTTCTTTATTCTTCCTCTACACACTAACTTACCTCATCAGCTTCCTTAGACTGAACTATGTTGACTCACAGATCTATATATCTAGCCCCAGTCACTCTTTTGAGCTTCAGTACCACACCATCAAATGCCTGTTGGATATTTCAAACTCCCAAAGACATCTAAAACTTACCATGTCTAAAACTGAATTCATTTTCTTTCCTCCTAAACCCTTCCTTCTCCCAAATTTCTTTTTTTTTTCTGTTGAAAGAATCATCATCGTCTGGTCTCCCAGGTTTGTAACCTTGGCATTAGCCTTGTTTTCACACTCTCCCTCACCCCCATACATCCAATCAGTTGCCAAATGTTGTCATTGGTACCATTCCAACATCTCGCACACCTGCCTCGTCTCTACTCACACAGTTATAACCATGGTTTAGGCCTTGGTTAGATTATTACAATAGACTTCCATTTATTCCCTTCGCTTCAAGTCCCTTCCCACTCTAGTCCATCCTACATTCTGGTACCAAAGTAATTTTCCATAAGTATAGATCTGACCACGTGACTACCCTATTCAGTCATCTGTAGTGACTGAATCTATCTGTTTCCAATATCACTAGACATTCCTCTTCCCATACAGTCATCTAGGCAAACTGGCTTTCTCTCTGTTTCCCATGCATGACACTACATTTCTCATCTCTGTGCCTTAACATGGGCCATGGCCATTCTCCATGCCTAAGGATGCACTGCCTCCTAATCTCAGCCTTACAGAATCCTTCTCTTCCTTTAAGATGCATTTCAAGCACCATCACCTGCAAGAAACCTTTCCAGATAGCCACCAACTACTAGTGCTCTCCCTCTCAAACTACTCTGTAAATATTTATATTTGTTCACTTTATATTTATGCTGTATACGTAATTTGTATAAATTTTTGTTGCTTCACCCATTAGAATGTAAGCTCCTTGGGGCAGCTACACTTACTAGCTGTGTGACCCTGGGCAAGTCACTTAACCCCAATTGTTCCCCCCTCAAAAGAAAAGAAACAAAATGGGAGGAAAAAAAGAAAGAAAGGAACATAAATTCCCTGAGAGTAGGGATCATTTCATTGTTTGTGCTTCTGTCTCCATCACCTGGCATAGTGTCTGGCATGTAGTAGCTGCCTAATAAATGCACACTGATTGATGCATGTTGAAGGATCTCTACAGCAGAGGAAAACGAAAGCCTATCCAGGCCACATCTATCAGTGCTTCACTCACCCTTCTGACTTCTACCTCAAATACCAGGGTCGAGTCTGATGGAATATGTCCACTTAAACCTTCAGAGCCATAAGCATATGCCGGAGGAATAATGAGAAGCCTTTTACCTCCTTTCCTCATGCCGAGCATTCCATCTTCCCAGCCCTTTAGAGATGAGAACACAAGATTAAAGATTAGTTGGCTTGAACTGAATTAATAATAATCAGTCCGTCCACATTAAGTGTCTGACATGTGCCAAGCTCTGTGCTAAGCTCTGGGGACAAAAAGAAAGGCAAAAGACAGTACGTGTCCTCATGGAGCTCACAGCCTAATGGGAGCGACACCACACAAACAACTGTGTACAAAATAAATTGGAAATAATCAACAGAGGAAAGTCACGAGAATTAACAGACATTGGTAAAGGTTTCCTGTAGAAGGCAGGATTTAAGCTGGGACTTTAAGGAAGTAAGGGAAGCTGGAAAGTGGAGATGAGAAGGAAGAGTGTTCCAGGCATAGGAGAAGCCAGTGAAAATACCCAGAGTTGGAAGATAGAGTATCTTGTTCCAGGAACAGTAAAGAGGTCAGTGTCCCTGGTTCAAAGAGTACATAGAGGAAGAAAGTGGTAAGGTGTAAAAAGACTGGAAAGGGGTGTGTGTGTGTGTGCGTGTGTGTGTGTGTGTGTGTGTGTGTGTGTGTGTGTGTGTGTGTGTGTGTGAGAGAGAGAGAGAGAGAGAGAGAGAGAGAGAGAGAGAGAGAGAGACAGACAGACAGACAGACAGACAGACAGACAGACAGACTCTGTGTGTGTGTGTATGGGGTGGGGTGGGGGGGCAGGTTATTTGAACACCAAAAAAGAGATTTTATATTTGACAGGGAGCCACTGGAGTTTACTGAGTTGGGGTGACATGGCTGGATCTTCACTTTAGAAAAATCACATTGGTTGCTGAGCAGGAGACAGACTGCAGTAGGGAAAGAATTGTGGCAGGCAGACCCACCAGCAAACTAATGGAATAATCCAGGCAAGAGGAGATGCCTTTGTGCATCAAGGCAGTGGCATTGTCAGAGGAGGGGTCATATTCAAAAAATATTATAATGCTGAATTGATAGCAACAGATTGGATATGTGGGGTGACAGACAGTCAGAAGTAGAGGATGATACCTAGCAGCAGAGTACCAGAGCCAAGAGGATCAAGACTCACAGAGGAGACCTCCAAAAGCTGTCTAGGTCATCACTGTGCCTCAGAGAGCAGTGTCTAAAGTAGACTTTAGAGACGTTTTTATGGTAGAACACACACAAACTCCCAAATTTCTTAATGACAGATTTGGTAAACCTAACATCCACTATTAAAATCAGGCCTTTCTTGACTAGGAAAAACTACCTGCCTTTGATGATAAGGAAGAGAAACAGAGAACAGTGCCCAGGTCTCTTGGACTCCCAGTCCAATCAAGCTTTTCAGGATATCAGAAATATGCCAAAGATTAGAAATTAGAAGTAAGTTTCTTAACTTAGTCCGACAACAGTTTACAGATTCAAAGAGGGAAACAATCAGCGTGGCAAAGTAGAAGAGGCACTGGACTGGGAGTCCAAGAGACCTGGGCACTGTTTTGCCATTAATTATTGTGCAACTTTGGATGTCACCTGCCTATGCCTCAGTATTTCTATATGTGGGGTGGGGGGGGGGGGGAAGAGATGCTCTGTCAGCTTTAAAATCATTTCAGTTTGATTCAATGCTTTACCTTAATGACTTTTCCTGATCCCAGCTTTAATCGAAGAAGTTTATCCTTGTTAACAGAAGAGTCAAATACCTAAATGTAAGAGAACAGACTCATTCAATAAAGTCCCAAACAGTAAAAAATAATAATGAAGATCACCAAAGTTTTAATGTAAGCCCAAACAACTACAGAAAAAAATAGTTCAGGAGGTGTGGGATAGCCATGGTATAATTTGATTAGGCCCTCAGAAGTGCTATGAAGCTGAACACCTCTGCCAATATCATGCCAACACTTTAGAAAAACTGAAAAAGCAAAACAATTTTAAAGACATAAGTCTACATCAATCAACAAACATTTCCTTAACCTACAAAGTGCAAGGCACTATCTTTTTTTTTTTTTTAGGCAATTGGGGTTAAGTGACTTGCCCAGTGTCACACAGCTAGTAAGTGTCAAGTGTCTTGAGGCCAAATTTGAACTCAGGTCCTCCTGACTCCAAGGCCGGAGCTCTATCCATTGTGCCACCTAGCTGTCCCCAAGGCACTATCTTAAAAGCTGAACATATGGGAGGGAAACATACATAAAGACATAAAAAGGGAAACATTCAAGGAGAGTACAATCTTCAAGAGGCATTAAGTGAGACTGTAACTAACAATACAAGGCAGTAAATCACACAACCAGAGAAGTGCTGGTGGCAGTCCGTAGAAGGAGAGCTACTTTAGCTTTTGATGTCAGGAGACAAGTTGGGATCTGATATAAACTGAAATCAGTACACAAGTGGAATAAAGCCAAATTTGTGCCATTTAATCATTCCACTTGACATCCGCGAACAAAGTCACTTGAATGTGGTCACTTGATTTTTTCTAAATCCTATAAAAAATTCTTCTTACCTGGCCTAGTCCATGATTCTGAAAGAGCCAGCCTGTATAGGCCACCTCCAAAGAATTACCAACTTCAACACTTGGACCCTCTCCTATAGTAAGATCCTGGCTCAGCACAACTTCCAAGGAGGACATGCTGTTACATTTGGCAATGCATATCTGCAAAAAGGAAACCACAGAAAGCAAAAATGGGCATATATTAGGTACTTAATTAATGCTTATTTCCCCCTAACAGTTGCTTCTACCAAGAAAACAGAGCAACCAAAAACTCAGAGCAACCAAAAAGGCAGCAAAAGCCCAAAGTCACTGCTTTTTTTTTTTGCTTTTTGGTGAGGCAATCAGGGTTAAGTGACTTGCCCAGGGTAACACGGCTAGTAAGTGTCAAGTGTCTGAGGCCAGATTTGAACTCAAGTTCTCTTGACTCCAAAGCTAGAGCTCTATCCACCGCACTACCTACCTACCCCCAAAGTCGTTGCTTTAAAAGAGTAAAATCTGCCTGAATCATTACCCCTATTGAAGGATCTTTTCCACAGGTATTAAAATTGAACATTGTCTACTATGTGCAAGGTACTGTGCTGGAGCTACAGTTAACAGATAATTCCAACCATGACCAGAGATCCATGAAAGTGTGGGAGGGGAAAAGGAGTCCTCTCCCAAATTAACCTAGTGTTTCTTGGAGGCAGTGGACTGGGGGGACTTTTGTAAAACTGCCTATATACTCAAAACTTAAAATCCTTCCACTGGTATATGATTCTATTTAAAAACTCAATTTCAATTTCTTTTTAGTTCCAAATTCTCTCCCTTCCCTTCCTCTTTCCCTCCCTTTGAGAAGGCAAGAAAAATAAAAGCCAGTACAAATATGTAAAAGTCATGCAAAAGAAATGTCCACATTAGCCATGCTAACAAAACAAAACAAGGAAAAGAAACAAAAAGAAGAAATTATACTTCAATCTGTACTCTGAGTCCATTAGCTCTCTTTCTGAAGGTGGATAGCATGTTCATCATAAGTCCTTGGAACTGTGGTTGATCATGGTGTTAAGTGAGTTACTAAATCTTTCAAAATCTTGACAATATTGCTGTGACTATATAAATTGTTCTCCTGATTCTGCTTACTTTACTTTGCATCAGTTCATATAAGTCTTCCCAGATCTTTCTGAAACCATCTCCATCATTTCTCTTTTTAAAAAAATAATTTATTTTTAGTTTTCAACATTCACTTCCATAAGATTTTGAGTTTTAAATTTTCTCCCCTCCCTGCTTCCCCCCCCAAGAGGGGCATGCAATCTGATATAGGCTCTCCTTACACATTCATATTAAATATATTTTCACATCAGTCATGACGTAAAGAAGTATAAGAACTAATGGGAGGAACCACAAGAAAGAAGAAATGAAATAAAACAATAAAAGGAAAGGAAAGCAAATAGTATGCTTCCATCTGCATTCAGACTCCATAGTTCTTTCTCTGGATGGGGATAGCATTTTCCATCATGAGTCTTTTGGAGTTGTCTTAGACCCTTGCATTTCTGAGAAGAGATAAGTCTATCAAAGTCAATCATTGCACAGTGTGGCTGTTACTGTGTACAATGTTCTCCTAGTTCTACTCATTTCACTCAGTATCAGTTCATGTAAGTCTTTCCAGGTTTTTCTGAAGTCTGCTTGCTCATCATTTCTTATAGCACATTAGTATTCCATTACCTTCATATACCACAACTTGTTCAGCCATTCCCCAACTGATGGACATCCCTTCAGTTTCCAATTCTTTGCCACCATAAAAAGAACTGCTATAAAATTGTATACATATAGGTGCTTTTCCTTTTTCTTTGGTCTTCTGGGATATCTTTCCAAATTGCTTTCCAAAATGACTAGATTAGCTCACAGCTCCACCAACAATACACCATTATTATACAGATTTTCCCATACTCCCCCTCAAATATTTATCCTTTCCTTTTTTGCCATCTTAGCCAATCTGATGGGTGTGAAGTGGTACCTCAGAGTCGTTTTAATTTGCATTTCCCTAATTATTAGTGATTTAGAGCATTTTTTAAAATATGACTATTAACAGCTGATTTCTTCCTCTGAAAACTGCCTATTCATATCTCTTGACCATTTATCAATTGGGTAATGGCTATTATTCTTATAACCACTGATACATGTGTAAATTGCCACATTCCCTAAGCTGAGGTTTAACATACCCATCAGCTGAATGTACCTGAAATTGAACTCCTTATCTTTTCCTCAAACCCTCCCCTGTTCTGAACTTCCCTATTATTGTTGAAGGTACTACTATCTTCCCCATCTCTCAGGTTCACCATTTACATGTCGTTCTTGACTCCACACTTTCTCTCATCCCTTATATCCAATCAGTTGCCAAATTCTGTGAAGTCTACCTTCGTGACGTCTTTCATATATGCCCCTCTCTCTTTTCTGACACTGCCCCCACCCTCATCACCTCATACCTGGACCACTGCCACAGTCCCTGGTTGTTGTTCTTGCTTCAAGTCTCTCCTCACTCCAGTCCACCCCCCATTTCACTGTCAAACTGATCTTTTAAGTGTGCGTCTAACCACGGCAAACACAAACTCCCCACCCTCTTCCCCAGCTCACTGCTCTCACCATTCTTTCTTATACCTTGTATTCATGTACTTTTTGATCTAGCAACCCTGGCCAACTTGCTGCTCCTCAAACAAGACTCTCAATGCTCGGGATGGCCTTTGTCCACGTCTGGAACTCTCTCCCTCCTGGAGGAGCATCCTGCCTTCCTTCTAGTCTCAAGTGCAGTAGCCCCTTTCTACAAGCAGCCTTTCCCAGCCCTTTCCTTCTGAGATTATTTCCAATTTACTCAGTATATGATTTGTCTGTTCATAGTTGTTTACATGCTGTCTCCCTCATTAGACTGTGAACTACTAGAAGGCAGGCACTTTCACCTTTCCTTATCTTTTGCCTAAACCCACTTTTCTTCTTAACTTCTTTCTTTTGAGAGCACAGCCATTCTTCTAGTCACCCAAGTTTCACAACCTTAAAGTCATACTCAACTAATTACTCTCCCACACCCTCCAAATCCAACCAGTTGCTAAATCTGGTTGATTCTATCTTCACAATCTCTCAAATACATCTCCTCTCTACCCACTCCCATGAAGGCCACCCATACCTTCATGCCCTCATCCATCCTTGCCTGGACAACTACAAGAGCTTCCTTGCTGGTCTACCTGCTTGTGTAGCCTTTCTCCTCTCCAATCCATCCTCCACACAGCTACCTAAGTGGAATTCCTTTTTTTTTTTATATTTATTTTTTCTTGATGAGGCAGTTGGGGTTAAGTGCCTTGCCCAGAGTCACACAGCTAGTAAATACTATGTTTCAGAGGCCACATTTGAACTCAGGTCCTCCTGACTCCAGGGCCGGTGCCCTATCCACTGCGCTATCTAGCTGCCCCCCCAAGTGGAATTCCTAAAACATGTCTGACTACGTAGCTCTCCAGCTCAAGAAGATCCAGTGGCTGCCTACTACCTCTAGGGTCAAATACAAACTGCTCTACTGACATTTAAAAAGCTCCATGATGCAGCTCTGACCTCCTTTCTAACTAATTCTCTTTCACATACCCTGAAGTCCCAAACTCTCTTCTCTAGCCAAACTGGCCTCCCGGATGTTCCCCGTGAGAACCTCTATCTCTTCCCTGAGCCTTTGCACAGGCTGTGCTCCCATCTACGGTACTCTTTGTTCAGTTCTTGCTTCTGCCCACTGGAATCCTTAGGGCCCTTTCAAGGGGGCCCTAGCACTCAAGCACTACCCCGTATAGGTGGCCCTCTCTGACCCCCTTGTTAGTCCTCCCAACATTGGAAATACTTTGTATATCCTCTGTAATTAATTATCTTTGTAAATATTTCATATTTACTCATGTGAATACATCTTTTTTCTCACTAGTAAAATGTAAGCTCCTTAGTGGCAAGGACTGTTTTCTTGTTTGTCTTTATATTCATAGTGTCTGGGACATGGTCACTGGTGTTCAATTGATTACCCAATTGAATTAAATTGCTAAGTGCTGCTGGGTTTTTTTTCTTTTTTTTTTTTTAGTGAGGCAATCGAGATTAAGTGATTTGCCCAAGGTCACAGAGCTAGTAAGTGTCAAGTGTTTTTCATCTGAGGCCAGATTTGAACTCAGGTCCTCCTGCCTTCAGGGCCAGTGCTCTATCCACTGCACCACCTAGCTGCCCCTGCTGTTTTAACTAAACAGTATTTCTTATACCTACTTGTGCCCCAAAAGTTTTATCAAGTTGGGACTTTTAAAGATAACTTTTCTATTTTAAAAAATGATTTTTATCTTTGAAGAAGCGATGAGAAATTATATCTTCCTCCTTTCTTTGCAGAAGTAAAAAAAAGAGAAGTAAAACAAGTAAAAAGAAATAATTTCACTTATAAATAACAATAACTTATAAATATGCACTATGGGTATATAACTGCATATACTCTCAGATTTGGTGGATATGTTCATTTTGCTTAACTTCTTTATTCCCCTCTTCCTACTTTTTACTTACTACAAGGGATGGCTTGCTGGGGAGGAGGGTATATATATTCAGAAAGGAAGGTGATTAAAAAAAGATAATACAATTTTTAAAAAATCTCTTAAGTAATTTAGCTAAGCACCACTGTCATTTTTCTGAAATGTTCCTTGTTCAAGTGATGAAATTAGTTTTTTCATATCTGACATTAAGAAAAATATAGCAGCCATTGATCTTTCTCATATAACTCCCTAGAGCTAATAGAAATCCAGGCATTCTAAATCTCTCCATGGGAAAAAGGTCCTTTCCAGCTGTAAAACTTCTACATTTTAACTGCTGTAGTTATTGCTCAAGACATTTCTAGATGCCTCTTTGGAAATGGCCTTCAGAGACAGTATAGAGAAAATCAGTGTCACTGCTCTATAGCTATACATCATTAAACATTTTCAACAAACTACCTGTTTATTGAAATCCACTGCAGCCTTTTCTGATTCAAACATCATGGACCAATTTTGTCTCTGGTCATCATAAAAGGTGCTATAGTTGTTGGCCTGTACCTGCAGAAAAAAGTAATTTGAACCACTAAAGCATGTGCAACTCATAAGTTTTTATTGTTGCTGAGTCATTTTTCAGTTGTTTTCGACCTTTGTGATCCCATTTAGGTTGACAAAGATCCTGGAGTGGTTTGCCATTTCCTTCTCCAGCTCATTTTACAGATGAGGAAACTAAGGCAAACAGGGTGTTAAGTGACTTGCTTGGGGTCACACAGCTAGCAAGTGTTGAGGCCAGATTTGAACTCAGAAAGATGAGTTTTCCTCATTCCAGGCCTGGTGCTCTAACATTTTCACCACCTAGCTGTCCCATGTTTTTGCTCCCAAGTTACAGATGACAAATCTCATTGTCTGACATTATAGTCAATATCCCGTCCAAGAAGAACCCACAGGAGAAATCAAGGGAGCCATCCCCTTCTGAATTCTCAGGTCTTGTCCCTATTCCACAGCCACCTTTTGAAAGGTTTTGGTGGTTACAGGGAGGATCAAAGTAAGCAGTAGAACTAATCTTCTACATTTTGAGTCTGTGCTTCCTTAGAACTTATTTCAAGGTACAGCATAATCAGCATATACTGTGGAGATTCTCAATGTCTCTTACCGTCAGTTCAAAATTTGGATGAATCCTGGCAGAGGTGATTGGCTGTTGCTGACTTATGTAAATGAGAATCCTGTACTGGAGTCCACCAAAGATGAAATACAAGAGCAAGAAAAGAAAGCAAAAAATGAACAGAAAATCCACACTGGCAGATACTAGCTAAAGCATACAAAGACCTTAGATTGCTTCCTAACTTTGCCCTAGGGAATTATCCCTTCCTTTTCCATTTTTCCTTCCAATTTTGGTCTCTACATAATGTTTCATATCTTTCTACACAACTGAACACCTTCTACTTTATGTGTTATATTCTCATGTAAAAAAACTGAATTTTAAAGTAATACAACTAAATGCAACAACTTATACAACTGAATTAAAGCTGTCAAAAACAGCAGAGTTCCCTTGGAAAGAAGAAAAGAGGCTTCAGTATGACAAGTATGGAGAAGTGAAAAAGAATAATTTGCACAATCTGTAGTCATGTGCAAAATATGATCAAAGGCATTACCACCTCGGCTTTCAATACAAAATGAGGTCTGAGTATACTCACTTCCCCACTGAAGCTGTTATGTGAGAGAATGAGTCACTTCTTGAAATTAGAAACTTCTTGGGTGAAAAATCTATCCAAAGAGTACATATGAGATGAGGTGTTGTTCACATCATTTCTCAAGCTCAAAAAGATGAGTTAATTTTTGTTGTTTGCTTTTTTTTTAAGGCAATTGGGGTTAAATGACTTGCCCAGGGTCACACAGCTAGTGAGTGTTATTTGTCTGACGTCAGATTTGAACTCAGGTCCTCCTCACTTCAGGGCTGGTACTCTGTCCAAGATGAGTTAATTTTTGAAGGAAATGATATTGAATCCATAATAAATTTGGTTTCCCTGACCCAATGGACCACAACAGTGAAAAACAAGAATATCAGGAAATTTGAGGAGGTTATCTGGGCTTCTGAAAAAAGAATCCAAAGCCACAAGCTGATAAACGAGTTGGAAAAGTGGTACAGATTCCAAAGAGACTCACTGAGATTTTATTAAAAAAAAATACATTTGGTTAAAAAAAAAGTGGCTCTGGAGGTAATTCTAAAGATGAGTTTACAAAATGCTTCAAATAGCAATTGTTAGAATGAGGATAGAGTGGTCTAAGAGAATGACACTGAAGTCAAAAATACTTAATTGAAGATCTTGGATTTCTCCCCTCTGCCATTAGGACTTTGTGACCCTACAGGGCTTACTAAAATGCTCTCTACCTACAACAATAAACATTGATAATGAACCAAGCAGAAAAGGAAATATTCCTTCTAACTAGCTTACTCTTAAAGTCTAAATTCTTAAGACAGATTCAAATGATAAAAAAAAAGGTCAAGCACAAATTGACTTATTCATAAGAATGAATAGAAAATCATTATTTACTATGATTTAGACTCACATTCATCAGCAGGTAAACAACCATCTTCATCACAAGACCAAAAAAGGCACTGGGCAATTGCAAATGAGAACTGCCACCTCAGCAGTTTTAATTTAAAGAGAATCTATTTCCTGAAAAGAAAACTCCACACCTAAGAACTCACACAGCACATACTTGGGTAACAATTCCAGCAGAAAGGCAAGATAAAATGACAAATAGCGCCACTACAAGCTCAACTATAGCATCCTATTGGGCCAGGCATAGACTTCAATGTATGTACACATACATGCACACACACAATATACATGTACATCACATACATACATACACACGTGAGCAGTAAACATATATACATGTGTATACACACGCATATGCATACACAAAAGCCTGAGTAGCTTAAATCTGCACTAAAACTTTGGGAAGAATATGTGCATGTGTACATAGAATCGGGGCCCCTCTCACCTCTTTGGCAGGGTGGTTCCCCAGGACTGCAGCACCTAATTTTCCTTGCTTCACATACTGACCGTTTGTGCTAAAGAAACAGAAACACTGCTTTAATAAACCTGCTACAAAATAAACAAGTAGGCACAGTAGGTCAACAATGGCTACAACAATGTAGACTTAAGACACTAAAAGGAAGGGCAAGCTTTTGAGTAACAGGAAAACCAGGGAGAGGCAGAGGACAATTAGAGAGAAATCTTGCATAAGTGGTCAGATGGAGTACTCATTGTATCAGGCTTTTGTTTTATTGTTTTCCTTTTTCACTAGAGAAAGTTCGATTTGCATGCAATAACTATTGTGTTAAAAAAAATCAATAAAACTTAGTTTTAGGGGCAGCTTGTATAGAGCACCAGCCCTGAAGTCAGGAGGACCTGAGTTCAAATCCTGTCTCAGACGAAACACTTAACACCAGCTGTGTGACCCTGGCCAGGTCACTTAACCCCAATTGCCTAAAAAAAAGGAAAAAAGAAAAGAAAAGAAAAAAATCCTCTTATTTTGAAAATTAAAAAAAATTTAGCAGGAGTAAGAGCCACCCAAAAAAGAAACTAGTCAGTCATCTGAAAGGTGAGTATCTCACAAATGAACCTTTTTTTTTAATCTCTAAGAAGGTATTATGGTACATGCTCTAATAAGACAACATGAGATGAGGAGGTGGGGGAAAGGGGGAGGTAGATGTGAACGAGAGTGAAGCTGGAGACACCTCACCTTTAGAATCTGTTCCACAGAGACAGGAAAGCTATGTTTTTGCAAGGACCATATATGGAACCACATGCTTACGGTCACAATCAATAGCGTCAAGTTCCTAGAGTTCCTGTGTCAAGCTAGGAGCTGGCATCAGTGGAAGAGGAACGGTAAAGCCATGAAGTAAAGGAGGGAGGCAGGGAACAAGTATTTATTAAGCTCCTACTATATGCTAGGGGCTATGCTAAGTGCTTTACAATTATCTCATTTGATGCTCACCAATAATTACATGAGACAGATGCTATTATTATCATCTTCAATCTGCAGTTGAGGAAACTGAGGCGGACAGAGGTGAAATGATTTGCCCAAGGTCATGCAGGTAACCAGTATCAGATGTGGGATTTGAACTGAGGTCTTCTTAACTCCCAGACCAGTGCTGCATCCATTGTACCATCTAGATGCTTCACTGATACTGAGAGTAATATGGATAACACAGCCCTGGGGTAGGAGGTTGAGAAATATTGAATGCTTTTTCCCTTTTAGTAGGGACCACTGAAAAGTGGGTTACCTGACTCTCTAGCAAATCTAAATGCCTTTCCTTGGCAAGTGGGACTCAACCCCAGGGTGGGAATACAAGTCCAGAGAAGTACATGAGGCCCAAGTTTGGCAGGGTTCCCTGAGAAGAAAAAAGTATTTTGCCTGTTTTGAGTCTCAGTTACAAGGCCTTTACATTTTTTTGGTCAGCTGAAACAAGGCCTCTCCTATATTTGATAGTTTACTAACCTGAATGCTTGTGTAGGAGCTAAGAGGCCTTTTTCTTTTGCTGGGGAGACTTAGAACATAAATCAAATCCCAAAGTTCTTAGGGAAACACTGGGTGAAGGAATAAGCCAAAAAGAGAGATTTTGCGAAAAGCCTAACAATGAATCTAGTCTACATAAAACCAGAACTTCAGCTCTGAGGCATGGGTTACAATAAATTATTAGAGCTAGAAGGGGTTGGGGCAGCTAGGTAGCACAGTGGATAGAGCACTGGCCCTGAATTCAGAAGTACCTGAGTTCAATTCTGGCCTCAGACACATAAAACTTACTAGCTGTGTGACCCTGGGCAAGTCACTTAACCCCATTGCCTAGCAAAAAAAAAATAAAAATAAATAAAAATAAATAAATAAATAAAATAGAAGGGGTGGTCTCTAGATGAGATCTGGAGAATAAAGAAATATATCTTCCTCCTCTCAACAGAGAGGTGCAGATATGGGTGTGTTACAGTCAGCTCCAACAAACTCTCCATGGTTAAATTTTCAGGGTGAGTATTTATACCTTGGAAATCAGCAAGTTACACACCAAATAAACTAGATTTACTTTTTGTTAATTGGCTAGACTTAAGAAAGTGATGGAAAAAATGTTAATAATATAGATTAAACTTAGAAGTATGATTACACACATTACACACACAGACACACAATACCCTTTAAACATTTACCAGCTTACTTCTGGCTGCAGATTATGGATCTACTATCAGACGTGGCCACTGTATCAGTTGGCTTTGCTTAAATATTTTTGGTATAAGAAAGGTTTCAACATGGGGGAAGATAGAGATTGAAAGGGAAATGACTGATATAAACATAGAAGGCAACAATAAAACTTTTTAAAGTCATCTAATCCAACTCTCTCATTTTAGAGGTGAAGAAACTGAGAAATTAATGCTGGATAAACACAAGGATCCTTGTCCCTTCACCACTAGGGTTATTTTATTGGCTACTTACAATCGATATGCATGGACCGCTGTGGCAGCTAGGACTGTGGAAGCTCCAACAGGGGCTGCAGTCGGAGGAGTTTTCTGTGCTGGCTGATTTGCTGGAAGGGAAGAAATTGGGATTTCATTCATTTCATACTGAGGAGAAGTATTCTACTCTTAAATAAACCTCAAACTTATATCTCACCCACACATTTGCATCCTGTTTTAGATTTTTCTCATTTAATTTTTACAACCAGATATTAGCCCCATTTTGCAAATGAGCAATATGCAGACAAGAGTCATTAGAAATTACCTGCCCAAGGTTACACGCTCTTCTACACTCTTTTGATGGTCATGGTAGGTCAGCACAAATCACTGAATTTTCTTTAATACCCCTCAGGTATTCTCATTTGTTCTTGTTTCTGTTCTCTCCCCCTCTCTCTTGTGTACCCTCTCTTCGTGTGTGTGTGTGTATGTGTGTGTGTGTGTGTGTATCTCCCTAATTCCTAAGATCAGTGGTCTGCCTCTATGGCTACAACTTAGGAGGAACATAAACATACAGGAGACTTATTCCTTCCACTACAGGGTGAGCCAAGAGCACCAACATCCTTTCCCTCCTCTATTCTTGCAATTCATCCACATTTTGTAAGTTCTATACATTTGGGTTAACATATTCCTTTTTTTTTTTGAGGCAATCCAGGTTAAGTGACCTGACCAAAGTCACACAGCTAATATGTATCTGATTTGAATTCGGGTCCTCCTGGCTCCAGGGCAGGTACTCTATCACTGCACCACTCAGCTTCCCCAACACATTGCTTTTTAAAAAGCAATGTATCTTTAAAGATACTCCCATTTTTCTTTAAGAGTTAAACAATCAGATCAACTCTGAATTCAACAAAGTAACAAGAGCGTTAATAATGGCCAGTCTGTCAGAGGGAGAAAGAAGGGAGGGGCTGACTCTGGTGTTTGAACCATTTCAAGGCAAAAAGTTTGGGAGCAGGGGTGTGGTTGGTGGGTGTGTGGCTGCTGAATGGACAGAGTAAGCTGTAAGGGAATTGCTAGGAGTCTAGAACCAGATTAGAAAATTGGATACCAGAGATAAAGACTTTTTGTCTAGGGCTGCTACAGCCCAGGTACTTAGAAAAGTATTTCTCTGCTAAAGCATCTGCTTTGCAGATGCAAAGTTAAGATATCCTGATTAGTTTGAAAGGCTGCTAGCAAAATTCATTCCAGTCTCCCACAAGGAGAATTTCTCAGTAAAATGGGATTCCCTGTATATGTATAGCCAATATCAGATTGCTGGCCCTCATAAGGAGGAAGGCGGGGAGGGAAGGTGAGAAAAATTTTAAACTCAAAAGCTTATGGAAATGATTGTTGATAAATCAGAATAAATTAATAAAAGAAAAAAAATGGGACCCCCCCCCACTCAGCCTCTTTCCCTCCACTAGAGGAAGAGACAAAAGGAGGGGGAAAAAACAGGAAATGGAGATATGTACATGTGCCTTCTAGGGGAAACATGTGTCAAAATCCTATGGTCATGGGACTTTATTTCTCTTGGTCTACCCCAACCCCCTCTCCCTCCCAAGCTCCTCCTCCATCTTATAATATAGTAATTTACCAGATTTCTTCATTCACTGGGAACCTGTAACAGATATTCCCCAAGAAAGAATGCCTATTGCCCTGGCATTTTATTTACATGTGATTACATAATATAAAGCGTATAGATAATTTTCAAGTTAAAATGTCATTACAGTTTAACTTAAAGTTATCATTTATTGACTTTCTTCTTTGCTTCTCCTCACCTAACTCAAATAAGCCTGAAGTACATTCAAATGAAGGAAGAAAGGGAAAGTAAAATGGCAAAGGGTCCCCCAATTCCTGCCAGGCCTGAGTCTGGACAACAGTGCTTTAAGCCAGGGGCTGACAACCTGTGGTACCTAAGGCGAAAGTGACACATGCTAGAGTTTAGGACAGAACCAATGGATCAGGATCTACAGACAGACTTTTAAAAAAATAATCTGTATTGCTAATATTTGTTTTAGCCTTACCTACATTTCCCACTGTTATCCCTTGCCTTATTCTGAACCATAAAGGATAAAAAAAAGAGAAAAATAAAGTTCAGTTAAACTAACATATCAAAAATATCTGAAGTTTTATGTTCCTGATAGATGTTAAATCTCTAACCTAGGAGATCTTCAAGGAGGTTGATGAACTCCCTTCTCCAGTTTATCGATATTCTCCTAAGGAGGTAAGGGGCAAAAGTGCCCTAATGCCTCTTTTTCTAAAGGACTTTAGAGTCAGCTCTTCCCTTCCCTCTCTCAAAGACACTGCCCTATTTACCTCCATCTTCCTGCCCTAGTGCTCCAAGGCTTAGAGAAAATGAAGAGCAGCTTTACTCACAAAGAAACTGGAGAACCCCAACTTACAGTAATATAAGAGGCAGTGTGGCATAGTCAATGGAGAGTTGCCTCAGAAGCAGGAAGACCTGGGTTGAAAAGTTCTATCTTTAATACAGGCTGTGTCACCCTGGGCAAGTCACTTAATTTCCAAATATCCCAGACAGTTCTCTAAAACTAAGTTGGAGAGCAGCTGCTAATCTGTTTTGTGGAAGTTCTTTACTGAGAGCTCCCTATACTGAACAACAAAAAAAATTTAACATGTCAGCTCTGGCTATGAAGAGACATGTGCCTGTGGTTCACACATCCATCATCTCCTGCTCCTGGGAGGAGAAAAACAGGGAGAAGCCACTTTACAACTGTCTATCTAAAAGGCTGTTGACCTGTGCTTTGGGCTCACAGCTACTGAGAGAGGTGGCAGTAAACTTACCAGCTGCTGTTACTGTGTGGCCTTTCTTAGGCTGCTTTGGAGCTGTATACTGGAAGAATTCATTTCCATGGCCCACAACCACCTGATCCAGTCCAAAGAGGGAGGCTAATTTAGCACTGCCAAAAGAAAAGGAAGCAATCATGATACTTGACAGAAACCTAAATGGATCCCAAGCTTCAGACGTTAGAGAAACCACTCAAAGTTCAGTACTCCTCAAATGTCATCTGGCATACATCACTCCAGGCAGGACTCAGGAGAAGCCCTTCTCTTCCTTCAGATTAGCCTGCAGATAGTGGGCCAGAATGGCTTTCATCAGATGGCCCCAGGCTGCTTTCATTACTGCGTGCAAGTCACTTCCCCTGTACAGGCCTCTTTTCTTTGCTATATAAGCTGAAGGCTGGACTCAGTGATACAGCATTCATTTATCTTTTCTGGATTTTCTAGAGTCTCAAATTCAGAATAAGAAAATACACTTTTAAAAATGTTTTTCAGGGGCAGCTAGGTGGCACAGTGAATACAGCACCGGCCCTGTTGTCAGGAGGACCTGAGTTCAAATCCAGCCTCAGACACATAATGCTTACTAGCTGTGTGATTCTCTGGGCAAGTCACTTAAGCCCACCTGCCTCACCAAAAGAAAAAAAAATTTAAAAAAATGTATATATATATGCTTTTCAAAAGTTAAACCATGCATTCTAATTTTTAGTTTGGAGAATATGGTCACTACAATGCCATGGTCCCTCTTTTAGTTTTCCATTCTTTGATTTCTGCTTTCACCTCCTGTTATATACAGGATAAAGGCAAGTTTAACATACTTAAATTGAGAACTACCTATACATATACGTCCTTGAATTAGAATCATAGATATTTTTCAAACAGTCATTCTCAGAGTTGGAAAGGACCTTAGTGGTGATCTATTCCAACCTCCAAATGAAACAAATCCTTTCTAGAAACAAGTGGTCATCCAGCCTGTGTTAGATGGCAGCCTGTAACCTGCAATACTTGCTCACATTTAAAGACTCCCATCTATTCGCAAAGCACTTTATACACATTATCTCATTTACTACTCACAACAACCCTGGGAGGTAAGCAATTTAATTTTCATCTTACACATGTAGAAAGTGAGATTTGGAAAAACTGATTTGCTCAGAGTTGCACAGTGGCAAAACCAGAACTCCAACCAGAGCTTGGCTCCAGGGCCAGTGCTCTATTCTGCATATTTGATCAGCCTTCTGACATAACTCAAACATGCACACATCAAACACTCAAGACATATTCAGTTATTAGGACAGCTACTCTGCCCATTCACTCCAGTAAGCCGAGTGGTTTGATGTGTCCAACACCCATTTTCCCCTGACCTGTGTCCTTATTTTCTCTTATGCTCTGCCATTGTTGGAAAATCCTTTTTCATTCCAGCCATCAGGTAACAACATTCCTCCCTTACTGGGAGCCTCTCTCCAGCCTTTTTTCTCCAATCAAGCCACAAATATTTATTAAGCACCAGTGTGCACTGTGCTGCTAGACCCTGGGGATGCAGAGAAACAACCCCTCATCTCAAAAGGCTTACATTCCAATGGAGAAAACAGGAACCTTTGTATGGATATATGTCTTTATCTATACACAGAATTATTCAAAGTAAAAAGGGTAGGCACTAACAATGGTAGGAGGGGACAAGAAAGAGTTCACAGAGAAGGATGTGCTTGAGCTTCATCTTGAATGAAGAAAGTGGGATCTGAGGAAGCGGAAGTGGGAATGCAGCGTGTGCCTGGCATGGGGATCTATCAATGCAAAAGAAAAGAGGAAAAAAAGATGGAGTGTCATATATGAGGAACAGAAAAAAAGGCCAGTTTGGCTGGATTGTAGAGTGTGGGAGAGGGTGAAATATACCAGGAAAGGAAGGTTAGGATTAGACTGAAGGTTTTTAAAAGCTAAGTTAAGGAGTTTATACTTTATCCTTGAAACAATAAAGAACCACTGAAATGTATTAAATAGGAGAATGATGATGGTAAGATCTACACATAAGGAAAGTCACAACAAGAAGCCTTTCCACTTTAGGAAAGAGACATTTTACTACCTACTTCTATTGGTGTGTTGCATTATTTATACCTACTCTACCTTCCTTTTTTTTTTTGGCAACTGGGGTTAAGTGATTTGCCCAGGGTCACACAGCTAATAAGTATTGAGTGTTTGGTCTGAGGATGGATTTGAACTCAGGTCCTCCTGACTTCAGGGCCGGTGCTCTATCCATTGTGCCACCTAGCTGCTCCCCCACCTTCCTTTTTCAAAAGTTATCTATTTCTCTTATCATAAATTTAAAATCCTATGTGGGCAAGGAATTCCTCCTCTCTATATATTATATATTTGCTATAAAGAAAGGGACAAAAAGATTGATTGTGGACCAGTTTCTGTTGTGGGATGAACACATAATCCCTAAGCACAGAGGAGGTTTTCTATCTGAATAAAATGCCTGTCATTAATGGCTCTGAATAATTCAATATATGAAATATCCCTTTGGTAGTTTCATATAATACTAAACCTGTAAATTAATCTAGGTAGTTTTGCCAATTTTGTTATATAGGTATAGCCATTCACAAGCATGATGTATTATTTAAGTTCTGGGGGTTTTTTTGAGGAGTGTTTTATAGGTATATTGCCCTTGTAGATGATTCACAGATATTTTATGCATTTTGCAGCTATTTTGGATAGCATTTCCCTACTACATCCTCCTTGATTTTGTTATTACTATATAGACTCAGCTGGTGATCTCTGTGGGCTTATCTTGTATTCTTGTACAATTCATTCTAAATCATATTTTAGTGATGGCAACCTTAAGTTGATAATTTTGGCTTCACTCTTTCCCCCAACCTAATCACTCATACTTTCAGTCTTAAAGGTTATAGTAGAAGAAAACAGCTAAAATTATTAAGTAGGGCTGAGACCCTACAATAATGAGGGCTAGCACTACAGTATGTGTTCAAGAACAAGACAGTCCAGACAAAGATAGAATAGATAAACGTGTCTTTTGCTGGGTCTAGATCATGCTGCTTTTGGTGCCTGGCTCCCCCTGCCCCCAGACAAAAATTATACATAAACTTCCCTTTTCACCAGGCTCCTTCTGCTCACTTATTTTAGATTAAAGTTCTTATACTGCGATTTAATTTTTCCTTTCTCTCCTTATCAAGAAAATGTATTCATTTGTGCTAGTTCAATGAATCTTACTAAACTGTGCATTCTTTTTTTTAACTGTTAATAGCTTCTTTCTGGTGAATAAGTTATCAATATCATGTATCTATATAGTTAATTATGGCCTACAAGCTTAAAATACTATTTCAGTGTCATCTCTAGACTGAAGAATACCTTTCTGATAAAAAGACCAGAGCTCAATAGAAATTTTGATCTTCAAATACAAGACTCAAGAGAGACATAAAAAGGTAAACAGGACAGAAAGAAACAACATGTTATTAATAAGGGCAAACTGGGAAGATGACACTTGTAACTCTTGAGAACTGTATTGTTATTACACCATGTTAAAGGGGTATACATAAAGGGGGTGGGTATAAATTGACTTTGATGTAATGATGAAAAAAATCTAATCAAGTGGGTTAAATGGATCCAAGTAAGTGAATTAATCTGATCTAAGAAAATGTACTGAGAGAAAGGGAAAGGAGGAAGCAGACAAGGGTAAACTACATCACAGGAAAAGACACAAAAACCTATTACAGCAGAGGGAAAGAAGGGAGGGAGGTGAGCATTTTTTCAACCTTACTCTCATCAGATTTTGCTCAAGAAGGAAATAATATAATCAGTTAGGTATAGAAATCTAACATGCCCTAAAGGCAGTAGGAGGGAAAAGGAGAAAGAAAAGGGAGGGGGCTAATAGAAGGGAGGCGGTGGTCAAAAGCAAAACATGATTGAGGAGGAAAAAGGACAAAGGAGAAAGAAAAGCATAAAGGGCGGGGAGGACAGGGAGAAAGACAGATAGTAATCACAATTGTGAATGTGATATATGAATGTAATGGAATACTACTGTACTATAAGAAATGATGAACAGGCTGACTTCAGATAAACCTGGAAAGACTTGTATGGTTTGATGCTGAGTGAAGTGAGCAGAACCAGCAGAACGTTGTACACCGTAATAGCCATATTAAGTGATGACTATCTTTGATAGACTTAACCCTTCTCAGCAATACAAGGACATGACATTTCCAAAAGCCTCATGATGGAAAATGCTATCCACATCCAAAGAAAGAATTATGTAGTTTGAATGAAGATCGAAGTATACTATCTGCTATTTTTTTTCTTCTGTTGTGTTTTGTTTCCTCTTTCTGGTGGTTCCTCCTATTAGTTCTAATTCTTACTTATATCACTAATGTGAAAATATGTTTAATAGGAATGTATATGTATAGTCTATATTAGATTGTGCACTGTTAGAGTTAGAAGGGCTTAAGTTTCCACAGGTAGAATAATGCAGAGATTTAAAGAACAAAAGTCCCAGGAGGTGGTACACTGTAGGTGGGCTGGGCTTAACCAATAGGAAGTAAGTGGATTGTTCCAAGAAGACCCCAAAATCAAGATAAGGGTCGAGCCAGCTCAGACCACTTAGGGTCAACCTGAGGACACCTGCAAAATGTTAGTGCGCCTGCTTAATGAACTTCATTACTATTAGCTGACACACCCCGCATAAAATTAGAGCCTCATTAATGAGTCATGGGACGTATGACCAAGGGAGGGGGAACATACTTGAGCTTATCAAGGGGAAACATGTAAGGAAAGGTGTAACCTGGGAAGGGTTGGACCAATCCTGGCCTGGGAGGGCCTCGGAGGTTTCCCCGCCAAATTCAACTGCATAAAAGCACACTTTCCCTTGCACTCAGGGCCCACCCCTCCTGGAGCCCGATTCTGGCCAGAAACATCTAAATCCTCTGGACTTTCTTTATAATAAATTTTCTTGATATTAAATTTTTGGTGTCAAGCCTATTTCTAACATGCACCATCTTGGGGAGGAAAATAGGGAGGGAGGGGGAGAAAAATTTAACACTCAAAAGCTTATTTAACACTCAAAAGTGATTTTTGATAAATCAAAATTAATAAAAAATTTTTTAAAAAAGAATATATTAAG